TCGATGGTACCTGTTGTAAGTAGTTTAAAAGGTTAATATGAATTGAACTTGTATTAAACGCGATTATGTCTTGCCTGATTTGCAACAAAATGAAAGAAGAAGAATGTCATCATGGTCATGGACTGCCATAATAAAATCTTTGAAACTTAAAAACAAAGAAGAAACGAATACAAACTAGAATATGTTACAGTGACGAATTAGAAATGGACATATTGTGTAGACACCTATCTATTTTTGAAATTATACTATATGTTGCCTTCTAGATGTCCTTAGTTTGTTCTTGTCGTTTGGTTGCTGTCTTATTGACGTGTAATCTACATTTCATACAGTTTTAGTTCCGTTGAGTGTACTTTTGAATCGGTGCATGAAAAATCATAACTAAACTGGTTATTGTGTATAGATTAATTGTCTTTCTTTCCCTCAATAATTCTAGGAAGATGAACCAAAGAGAGATGTACACATATACTTGTTTCTATCAATATATAATACATATGAATAGTACGTCGACCTTCCCATGTGGAGATGTACCTAAATTAAAAATATTAATATGTAAACAGAAAATAATGTTACACTTTTCAATCTTTAACTTCTCCTCCCTCCATTTTTTTTACTGTATCAATTTTAAAGACATGTCGCTTCTAAACAAAATCTGATTGATCTGTAGCTTATCCCCCAAACCTGCTTTGATACAAACTTGAATATGTTCCTCATTAAATTCGATCCCAAAACTTAAAAGGCATACATATCTAAATAGTCGTAATTAATTCCATTGAGCACGAAACTATAATCCAAATCAGATTTTTTTATTTGGATATTCTAAAATACATTTCTTTTTCGGCAGAAATTACAAAAAAAAATATTATCTGGTTTGACTGGGAAACACTGATTTCAGATGTACATTGTACACAAAATATTATAAAATATTTTATGTCCCACCCTTTGAGTGGAAAACATGTCATGTTTTAGCATAAAATCGTCTATTTTGGAGTGAAAAAAATTGGATGATTTAAATAAATTAGATGTTTTTGATGGTCTTTTGGATTCTGTTGACAGTTTTGACTTTTCTACTCTAATCAAATGGTCTTTTGGTAGATCTGAATGCGAATTTTCTACTCTTTACACTACACCTCCACACAATCTTATCAAACAAAAGTTTTCTTATTTAATTAAATGGTCGTTTGGTAAATCTGAATGCAAATATATTTGCTGCAATTCATTTAAAGCCTTCTTCTCTAATGTGAAAGGTAAATATGCTAGATATACTTACTGGAGGTGGGATGTGATGATTGAAGCTGTTAATTTCCCCTTGATAATATTTATGTACGTTTTAGCAACAAAGTTTATCGACAGGTTGTAGGTATTCCAATGGACACTAATTGCGCCCCTTTGATAGCAGACTTGTTTTTGTACTGTTCTGAATCATAGTTTATGACCACACTAAGTAAAGACCCGTCAAAATTGCATTTAACTGATAAATTCAACAACACTTACCTTTATCTTGATGATATTTTTTCGTTAAAAAATCAAGAATTTTCTAAATATACTGCCGACATTTACGACAAAATAGACGATTTTTCGTTCCCGATTGTTATTTTTCACCTTTTGGATGGTGATGTTCCATTGGCACCATCTTATGGTGTTTGAATTTCACAACTCGTTCGCTATGCCCGTGTCTGTTGTGACGTTTTTGATAGTAACGAACGTAATCTATGTATTACTGGTAAATTATTAAGCCAGGGATTTCGTTACCACAAATTACTTAAAACCTTTACTAAATTCTTCCATAGATATAAAGATTTGGTTTTGAAGTTCAAATGGGATAGCACATCCTAATTTTTATGGAAATGTTGTTTACCGTGCCCGGAAATTTAGAAACGATCCTGGTAAACTTGTCGATCCGTGAAATAAACTTATTCTAAAAGGTTACCAATTCAACACTGTAATTAGATCATTGAAAATTGTTTTATTTGTATCAATATTGATTTTGTTGTCGGTAAATTAAAAGCAAACTAAATATTATTGTTATATAATTCATATACACATTCATGGATCTACAATCTGTCGATACCTGTATCTTGGCATTACACAAGGTCGTGTTTTTCCTCTGACTGTTTATGACGTCTGTATACTAAATCCATTGGATGTTGGATGTGTACAGATTGATAATTTAGTCTTAGATGCATGATTTTTTTATTACTTGTTAGTGGCTTTGAACTAGCTGCCAGTAACTTCGAGTACTCTCAGATCAGTACTTAGTGTCTTTTTGTTGTTGGGATATACAAGTACCCGCGGCCACATCCACTCTGTGTTTTGTTAGATGTATGTTATTTGTATCCATCTGATTAGTTAAGCCTTTTTCAACTGATTTTTATAGTTCGTTCTTATGTTGTACTGTTTCACCACTGTCCCAGGTTAGGAGGAGGTTGGGATCCCGCTAACATGTTTAACCCCGCCACATTCTGTATGAATGTGCCTGTCCCAAGTCAGGAGCCTGTAATTCAGTGGTTGTCAATTGTTGAAGTGTTACATATTTGTTTTTCGTTCATTTTTTGTATATAAATTAGGCCGTTATTTTTCTCGTTTGAATTGTTTTACATTTGTACGTCATTTCGGGGCCTTTTATAGCTGACTATGCGATATGGGCTTTGCTTATTGTTGAATGCCGTACGGTGACCTATAGTTGTTAATTACTATGTCATTTGGTCACTTGTGGAGAGTTGCCTCATTGGCAATCATATCACATCTTCTTTTTTATATTCGCTACATGTACACTCGGTGATATTTTTTAAATTTTATATGGAATTACACTTCTTTCAAAATCGAGGATTCGCCCCTAAAGGTAAGAGTACTTTTGAACTGTGCAGTATATCTGAGGTAGTAAATGCACACCTTTGCTGTGCATTATCCAGATTATAGCACAGTAAGAACAAAGAGATTTTACTCATGTCATGTGTTAAGTATCCATAGGACAGTATGACTCGCTTAAAATATCAAATTTTCATGTTCATTGAATCGCAAATTATGGTTCAAATTCCTAATTTGGCATACATTTCAAAAAGAACATGTAATAATGAACATGTGTATAGTTTCAAGTTGACATGAACACAACTCCATTGTAATTTAATCTATCTTAACAAACAGAATAAACCTAGTATTGGACGGACGGCAGCACAGACCAGAAAAGATTATGCCCCACTACCGTAGGCGGTACATAAAATCCTAGTCACAAAGGTAAGAATGGCCCATTTTTGTTTGAGGCTGATATTCAGACGATCCCCAGTAACAGCTATTCTAATTTCAATGTTCCCTCATTGTTGCATGTAACAAGAAGCCGTTAGAACAGGCTCTGTAGTATAGCTGACGCACCTAAGCCTCACATTTAACAATATACATTTATTTCCCGTGCCGGAGGGAGATATGAAGATTTGTTCACCCAAGAATATTCATATTTCACGAGGGCTCTGCCCGAGGGAAATATGATTTTTCGAGGGTGAACAAATCTTCATATCTCCCGAGGCAAAGGGAAATGAATGTTTTATTCCACTGCCTATGCTTTGTTTACTATCAATATTTTAAATATTATTTTGCATACATTTTTTTTTATTATCCGCTGTTTTTGTAAGTCAAACTAAACACGACAACCCATTGATAAACAGTAAGGATCAAAATTTAATTATAAGTCTTTTTGTTTTATCGTCTGAAATAAATTTGAACATGATAATGATTTTTGCTATCGCTATTTTAAGAAGAATAAGAAGTTCAAAACGTTATGTACATTAACCGCGCGTAACGTCGCACGAAGTAATCACGACATTTCAGAGGGGAATATGATCCTCAGAATGGAATATGAAGATTTGTTCAATGACACGTGGGATAGTCACAACCAATCAAATATTGATTAAACTATCAATATGTTTAAACAGTGGAATAAAACAATTTGACTAATTGCAACTAATGCACGAAGATACCAATGTAAATGACGAGTAATTTTTTCAAAGTTGAATGGAATATTCGGTGTCTTCGGCTATGCACATATCTCGTCAGGAAGATTTTCTATATGTCGTTCCTCAAAATACAGATTTTGTTTCGTTTCGTAGTGTTTCGTTTCTCAATTTAAATGTTTCGTTTCGTTTCGTCGTGTTTCGTTTCGTTTCGCTGTGTTTCGTTTCGTTTCGCCATGTTTCGTTTCGTTTCGCTCTGTTTCGTTTCTGTTCCGTTTCTCACTTTACCGGGACCCCAAAAAAAATTACCGAATAATTGTTCCGATATCGTAAGTGACAAGTAGTAGTGGCGAGTAGCGAAGTCTAGCCGTGACATAGAAAGCGATAAACCACGAGATTCCAATCCTTAACTTACTATACAAATCCTTGATAATACTGAATCAATAAACAAATTAAAGAATAACCAAGATAGAAATTCAAAAGTTGTTAATACATAAAATTAACCCTAAAGACCAGGAGAAAAATAAGGTAATACCCATTTATAAATAGGGCACGGGTGGGCGGGTTAAAAAATGTTCTCTCAACTATCGAAATTGTTGATCGACGCTTCAACTCGATATTCAAGAATAATATAAAAAGAACCGTAAGTGTTTACCGTGTGAAAACAAATCTTGGAGTGAAGAAAAAAGGTATGTAATTTAACAGGTAAATGAAAGTGAGTAGAATTCAACTGATAATCCAATAGGAAAAGTTATGACAAACTTAGGATGACGAAAATTAAATAGCAATTTAACAAATTTAATTCGCTAACAGCAGAAAAAAACCAATAATGAATCCGCGGAAAAGTTAAATCTAGCAAGAATGGAAATTTCTTTCTCAGAAATTATTTTTATTAAAATAAAAATCTCCACATCATTCAAATGCATCACCAACAAACTCCAGCAACTTTAATTCTAGTTTCGGTCTTTTTATAGAACGTGATGGGTTTCATTTTACAAACTTACTTTTCGGTGTTAGTGTTGGATAGATTGTCAGAAGGAAGGAAATCGAAAGTAGGCTTGTACATCGAATTAATATAAAAATAATACAGGAAATCTTATTGCTCATTTGATGTTGTAAACAGTATACATCCTTATGTTTGTTAAGGGTCTTTGAAAAATAATGTTTCACATGCTTGTTACATAACACACAACTGACAAATACATATACTGTAGGAAGATCAAAAAAGAAGGCGTGAGACTAAAGAAGACGGATAAGTGTAAGTGTGTGAGGTTATTTGACTATGCAATGGATAAGATTTTATTTTATTTTCCACGGGCAGTTATCTCAGTAAATTTGTTTACCTATTTACATATACTAACTGCCGAGACCAGTTGCTGTGTATATCGTCACAGTACCCATGCAATAGGCTATTTAAGAAATAATTCATGGAAGCCATAGATTTGATATAAATTTACACGTGGCCTGGGCCGTGATTCAAATTTTATCCTGAGCGTTAGCAAGGGATAAAATTAACGAATATCACCGCCCAGGCCATGTGTAAATTTCCAACAAATCTATGGCTTCCATGAATTATTTCGGTTCTAATAGGACAAATACGGTAATTTAAAAAATGCAGCGAGGGTGGATATGCCGTGTGTGTGGCTGTTCTTTTTTATCCCTTGTTAGTTAAAGCTAAAAATGTTCCTATAAATCTATAGCTTGCATGAATTATTTCTTAAATAACTGCTAGAAAAATGTGTTTAATTCTTTTTATTTATTCTCAACCCCAACATTTGCTATTTTTAATTTATATTTTTTTCTCGTAAGCTACCGTCAACTCTGCACTTGACTTTCATAACTAAGGAGCCGCCATGTTGACTTGCTGAATTCAGTAAATGTGCGAATAATGCAATAGAACAGAAAATAAAACAACACTTACCTCAAAAGTCCATTTTAATGCAATATTATTCGAATTTCAATGTTTACATCACGGAGAAACCTTCAGCTTTAGTGTTTTCATTTGTATGACGTCATGTTTTGAAATGACTTTAATGTGCCAAAAGCATTAATAGACTTTTGTGGAATTTTATTTTATTTTGATTTTCAAAGTTGTACATTTCTCCGAGCTCTAATGCATTAATTCTTTTTGTTATGCATCAGAATAAGAATAAAGGTTCTGTAGTCTTTTTTCAATTGCAATTTTTAACACAACGAAAATGGCACAGCGTTTGCAAATAGGTTACGATACATGTGGATTTATGTGGGAGATATATTGTTACCGCCATTATTATGTATATATATCTCTGAGTCTGCGCTAAGTATAGATTTATCGAGAATTTTATCACGTTGTTGTTTACAAAGCAAAAGAAGCACCTCGTCTTAGAAGTCTCGAAAGATCGTCAATTCCGCATGCCTTTATGACGTCATTTACCAGATAGAAGGTGCGCCTGTATCCCCACACTATTAAAGTTTCAAGCATTTTCAGAATCGTCATTCTGCAGGGTAGTGCAGAAATAATTTATGTTCCGTAAGTACGTAATCTTAATTCCTGTACGACTAAAAGGGAGGGTGGCAGACTAATTAGATTTTAATTTCCCTAATATTTTGTTCAGTATAGCATGAAACTTTTTCACCCTTTCGCTCAACAGTGACGATGCCTACAAATTGGTCACATGATGATGGAAGTCACATGACAGATTCAACTAACTACCGTATCCCGGAACTGGCGTATTTGCACCTATTTTACAAAAAAAAAGAAAATGCAGCAGAGATCTTACAGGTTTCCTTAGTGACTAAACAAATTCGTTTGTATTTTTATAATTTGGCATTATGCACGTCTTTTCATCATAGATAAACATATTTAAATATACACAAAAAACCGCCAATACAGTTTGGGGAACATCCTCATAAATGGGTATTAACCTCATTTATGGGTATTATACCCCAAAACAGGTATCAGTTTTCAGTGATAAAAATATCAACTTTGGATTAAAAGATATTTTCTGTAATGGCGTAAACTTTTGGGTAAAGGAGAACTTTTTGCTTAAAGTCTCCATGACTAAAATATCATCAGGATAAAAGTAAACAGCCTTTAAAAAGTAAGATTTTTGGAGGTAATTATCTTTGTATTCAGTTCTCATTTGAACTATAGTCCTAACAGGGAAAATGTTGCCATTTATATGAATATTTGCGCCATGATGAAATACAAAATTTGATTTTTTTTATCACTGTAAATTGATACCCGTTGATACCCGATTTTGGGTATAATATCCATAAATGAGGATAGTACCCATTTATGAGGATCTTCCCTAACCTGATATATATATACAGATGCTGTATCCAGTGAAAAAAGTAAAATTTACAGAAAGGTAGATGAAAAAACTGTCAAAATAGGTGCAATTTGGGTACCTTCACATCACATATGAAGGCATTAAAATGTTAAAAAGATCAGATCATACTTAGCAGTTCATGTTAAATTAGTATTAGCACACACACCTTTGTCTGAAAAATATACAAGGAACATTATCCATGGCTTTTCATAAAAAAAAAAAAAAAAAATATATGTGTACTGATAAGAGTATGTTCAAAGAGTAAACATGGTAAATATTGCAACATTTCATAGTCTTTTTTAGCCTAAGTTTTTGATTTTTACTTACAATCACATACAATTTGATGTCTTGAAAATTTGCCTTAAGTCTTCAGTTTATTGTATAAACTATATCCGAATACATTTTCCATATGAGGAGTCAATCTGACACCGAAATAAATCCAAAAATATTGCAGCATTTAATACCCCCTCCCTCTCCCCCCTAAAAAAAACCAAAAAAAACAGACGGATGAAATGTCTTCAGAATTTGAAGGATTTTTAGCTTACAAAGCATCTGATAAATAACAACATATCTTGATCTTACCTTGCAGATGATTTGATTACAATGTGGGGGAAACTACAAGGTGCTATTGACAGGTTTTCTAAGATAGCACAACCTGTTGAAGAACAAGAAACAAGCAGTAAACCAAGAAAATTTAGTTACGGCCGCCCTGAATTCTTACAACTGAATGATGATGAAGTACAAGTTTGTCAAGATATCTATACCCGACCTATTATTGTTCCTAGAGATGAAATGCTGTTACTTAGGACATCTGGCTATGCTGAGTAAGATATTAATTATAGATATATTCTCATTGAATTTGTTAAAAATTAGATAGCAGGTAACTGCATGAGCATTCATTGCAATCTGTCCAGATCAATGTCAAATATTTGAAAAATAATTTTTCAAATAAATCTAGACAGCCAGCTCAGTAATTAAGTCCGTATTCACCCTACTGTTATGTAGAAACTCTTCATTTATGAAAATTTTCATGTTTTCAGTTTACATGAAAGTTCATATATATCTCTTGTACTGTAGCATGTGTAAGATTTAAAATTGTTTAAACTTGCATAAAGCACCCTTTGTCAGTTGGTAAGAATATTCAATTTGTCTTGTTTTAAAATGAATGTATATATATATACACTGGACAGAATGTATCTTAAAAATCATAAATGTGTAACTTTTGCAGGTAACATAAGTATTTGTAAAACTCCACATGTTTGTGGCTTCGGCATATAGATTTCCACTGTGCCATTTGTAAAACAGCATCTGAAATGGCATCTTGAAATGGTTGAATTTCATGTTTAAGTACATTTTTGACAAAACTTATGTTTGAACATCAGTAATATTTCACTCATACTTTTACATTTACTCATTTGGCAACTGTCAGTTGGACTTACTTTTTAAAGTTGTGTTTTATGTTGAATTTTGGAGCAAATGGTAATTATAGGCAAGGCATCCCTTTTCAACAGGCACAGCATTTAGTTTTGTTGAGAGAAGTTTAACAGTTGAAAATACTATTTACATTTGAAAATGCTTATTAAGTGATTAATTGATTGTTGACAAGATACTGTATGATTATAATCACGGTATATTATTTTGTTCCAATCACAGAGTTATAAATGGTGGAAAAAGTAAATTAAATGAAGACCAATCCACATCCAAACAATTTTTTATCAAGAAGAAATCAGTAAGAAATGGTGCAGTGTCCACAGAAATTCCACTGGAACCAATAACAGATGGGGGACCAGTAAGTCTTACCAAATATCTAATATCAGACATTTAATTTTGATACCATTGATTTGAATAAAAGAGAGATGTGGGGTATATGTGAATGAGCAATCCCAAAATATAGTAAAACCAAAACAGACATCAAGGACTTCATTAATGCTTCAATAATACTAGGAACATGTCTGTACTATTTGTCAAGATTTACATTGTCCAGAAAAGGCTGAATAAATTCAAAATGTCACAAAGATCTGTGACCTACTCCAAATTTTTTATAGGACAAAAAGGACTAAGAAATGAACAAAGACAATCACTGACGAGGTTTTGACTCAGAACAGGCATATTAACATTTTGTGTGTTTAAACTAGTTTTTTTAATACTTAACCCTACAGACAATGTAATAACAAAATGAACGTAATCAAATTCAGAAAAAGCATTAAATATACCTCATTTGATATGAATAATGGAAACTGCATTCTTAGGCTGTTCCTTTAATAAATGACTGCTACAGAGCAATGAAAATACCTTCAAAAAATTGTCATTTCAGTTTCAGTCTGATTTGGTTCAGATCATACAAATAATGATGATTCAAGTTTTGGATCGATAGTAATGTTTGACTAATAAAATGACCTTTTGATGTAAGTCTTGACAAGAGTTTATTCTAAGAAACAAAGTAATGAGTGTTAACTGTCCTTTCAGATGAATGAGATTCCAGTGACCTACTTTGCAATATTTGATGGACATGCTGGTCCTGATGCTGCATTGATGGCTTCTAAACTGTTACATAAACTGGTTGAGGTAAGATGGCCTCCAGGTTGTTATATAAATTTATAGAGTTAATAATAAAAAATGAATGCTAATGTTGGAATTTAGACTGAAATGATGCTTTAAAAAAATAAAACAATTAATATTATTGACTCCTCTTCAATGATTGCGTATGTCATTTTCTCATTTACTATCATTAATCATGCATCTATTTTCGGTCAATGGAAGAATTGTAACATGAACACATCCATTAGACAGAGTTAACCTGTTTTTGACTTCATTTTCATGATTCATTTTAAAGTTTTTTTTCTTAGGTCAGTTTCTCAGATACTATAAATAATTGGTCGAATATTATTAATCCGCAGAATCATTCTCAAATGCAAATGTTTGTCTGATTCTCCTGAAACTTTACCTCATTTTCATGTTTCAGGGATCAATGTTAAGATTTTTTTTTCACTTAGGTCATTTCTCAGTTGCTGTTTATAGACAGTCATATATATTTGGTCTATAGAGACATGCATACCCTTTCTAATTAAGGGAACTGTTTAGGTAACAATACCAAGTTTTTTTTGTGTCAGGTCATTTTCTCAGCATCCTTAATTAACATGTGAACGCTACTTGGTCTATACATTTTTGTAAGGCATGCTGTTCCATGGGACAAGGTTTGCCTGTTGTTGAACTTATTTTCATGGTTCATTGATTAACATTTCAGTAATAATGCTAAGGTCAGATTTCAGTTACTGTATGTAAGAGTTTCAACAATATTTAGTCTCAAGAATCATTTTAAGTTGTATATATCCAACTGTCAAGAGCAATCTGATCTTGATCTCAATTTAAAGGTTTATTGATCAATGTTAATTTTTTTGCACCGATCATTTTCTTTAATTTTGATCTTTATTGTGAATGTATTTAGTCGGCAAAATTTATTATGATGTTTACCTTTTGTCTGATGGGGTTCACCTTACCTTGTCCTCATTTTATGGTTTATTGACCAAATGTTACATTTTATGATTAGGTCAGTTTCTCAGCTAATATAACTATAGTAGGTCATATATATTTGTTGTATGTAATCATTGTAAGGTGTACATTTCTGGGTTTACCAGATCTTGACCTCATTTTTCATGGCTCTATTATTAACATTAATTTTCCATGCTAAGGTCAGATTTCAGTTTACTAAAAATCCCTTATGGGAAGGTTTGTAGAGACACTTCCACATAAGGTCACTTATTAAAAAATATTAGTCAGTTCATACTAACTTTTAATTACATGATATAGATTATTCGATGCAAAATGTCTAACATTCATGTTGATTAATCACAACAAGAAAATTGAGGTTGAAAAGTTGGTACAAAAGGAAATTCAGTTCAGTTCTTTGTTGTAAAGGACATAACAGTCATGGAACCAGAGATGCAAACAGTTTTTTTTTCTGTCAGACATTGGGGCCTACAGGGTAGTAAGTTTTGCCAGACCCATCAAGTTTTTGTCAGACCTATATTTTCACTCAAAAATAAAATGAGACGCTTTTGAACAATTAATTTTTATTTTGTTATATATTATTGTAATCTGTGATTCATATTCATAAACATTGTAGTTTATTCAATATATTAATACATAAATGATGACCCAAGAGTTATTCCTCACAGGAGTACTTTGACACAAGATAATCTAATTGTTCTTATGCCAATAATTGGCATAAGAACAATTAGATCAAAAACAAAGACGGTGGCAAGCTACCTTTGTACGTCAAAACGAATAAATATGTTCAAACATTAACTAAAATGAAGAAAAAAAAACTCTTAGAAAACTAAAATAATACTTGTTTTTGTTTAATTTTATAATTTACTTAAATCTGGTCATTACGACATTAGATGTCCCTTAATAGAACTTTTGGTTTTCAGTGCTTTTCAACTACATAATTGATTTGGCCATCTATTGTTCCAACTGTTCATGCACCACTGATGTGTCATATGGAGACGAAACTCGTTTTTTTATACTAACAATGTTCTCGTTATGGCGACTTATTCGCGCCATGGACGCATGGTTTTCTGTCTGGACGCGCCATTGCATGAACCGTGCGTCCGAGGAACGCGTCTGATAACACTTGCTGAGTCTTGTAATCATCAGAATTATCCCTCAGCTATCAAAAAGAAGCTGAAAACATGCTTATACTCAATATTTTTACCGGAAATTTACTTTCGTTTTCATTGCTATGTGTAATAATAAATCCCGAGAAATAAGAAAATAACTATGATCACATGACTTACGCTAATTGGATAAAGGCAAAGAAGATTGAAATATGTTTACATCAGCACGTTTACCTATTACCGGCAATAAATGTGTCATTAGAACTTTGGGTTTTCAATGCCTTTCAACTGCATTATAAATTTGGAAGCCAAGGTTACAAGAACCAACAGAAATTTCAATTTTGACGGCCCCAAACAGTAAAAATATTTGCCGGTCATTGGGTCTGACACAAAGACGTCATTTGCCGGACCCTCTAAAATTCTGCCCCCCAGGTCCGACAGGTCCGACGATTAGTTGCATCACTGTGGAACTATTACACAACCTCACTCACTTTGTTTGTGTGCTATCAGAACTATAATACAGAATTCATATTCAATGTAAAACTGATAGGGATATTTTCCTGTCTAGTGAATAGAAAAACAAAGGATATGGGGTATCCATCCATGACACAAAATCAGTACATACACAGCAAAAAAACACACTAAAAGCAAAGAAACAGCACTTTTATGGCTATTCTCTTTATTTCAAAGTCACAGTGATGCAAGTTTATTTACAACAATTACTGGTTAAATTTTTGAAAATATTGTTCAATTAACCTGTTTTAGAGAGAAAACAAATTGAAAAGGGTGATGCATACTGATTTGAAAATTGAAAATTTAAACAGTTGCTATTGTTTTGTAGGAAAAGTTGAATGGTGTGAAAGACTTTATTTTTGAAATAGCTGGTCCTACTAAAGGACAGCTTGGAGATTCAAAGCATGATTCAAAGTCCATATCCATCCATAGTTTAGTGATTGGTGCTCTGGAACAGTCTTTTATTTCAATGGTAATAGTTTTGCATTTTTAAAGTCTTCTGTTTTTCAACCATGTCATGCTGTGCAACTGACCTGTATCGTTTTTACAAACTCAATGAATACAATCAGTCTTTGGTGTATACTTGAAGAATGTGTCTTGTTTATAGAGTCAAAAAAGATTTGTTCAATACATAAAAGCTTCAATTTTACAGCAATCAGTTAAGATAAAAGCATTCAATTAACAAGCCTTTTAATTTATATGACAAAAATTATTGTAGTTCTATGTCTGTCATGGTTTTATTTAAAATGCATACAGAGACTTAGAATATATCATGTACCTTCATATTCACATTCCGTCTATGGTACCGGTATGTCATTATAATCAAGGGATACCTAGTAAAATTTCATTCCCCAAATAAACTTCTTCAAGTTTAGTCTTGAAAATTGTATAAGATAGAAAGATAATGCAAAATAACCTTCCTTGTGTAATATGACAATGGCAGAGCATGATTTTATCAATTTGTATTTAAACTAAATTGTAAGGGTAGGTTGTACAATGTATATTTTATATATCTTAGATGGGCTAAGTAAATTAAATATTTGGTAAATTGAGATTTTTCTAAAGGTGTTTCTCAGAATAAAATGTATTAACAAATTAAGTTAGTATGAAACAAAGATTACAGGTAGAATAATAATTTATAATGGTGTTAAGTATTTGTGAAAATACCTTTATATCACAAGTAGGTGTTACTGATAAAGACGTAGGCATCATATAAATGGAAAGAAATTACAAAGTCAAATTTATGCAATGGAATACCAATGCTTTGCATCTTACTCTGTAAAATGCTATACTATTTCAGGACCAACAAATAGTAGACGAGAAACAGAACTATACAATATTAGGAGGTTGTGCTGTTATTGTTGCTTTATTTTTACTGGGAAAACTCTACATTGCTAATGCTGGGGATTGCAGGTTGGTTTATATAAATTATTACAGATAACTTCAGACCAGAATGTACTTGCTTAAGGCCAAACAAATTATTATAAGCTTCTTAGGCACTCTGAGTTGACTGTTTTTTCTTGCCAAAGCCTTTTTAAACCTTGACCTCCCTTTAATGTTTTATTAGTCAATGATGAAATTACTTTGTCATCTTTATTGGTTACAAGAAATGGTTGCAAGGGGTATATGTCTGTATTGAAGAGTTCAGTTAACTTTGACCTCATTTTCATGGTTTCTTGATCAAAGTTCAATTTTCCTGATTTGGTCAGTTTCTCAATTACTATAAATGGGTCAGCAACATGTTATATACAATGGTTTTAAAGGGTACTTGTTCTTCTGATATGGTTCATTTGACCTTGACCTCATTTTCATGATTAATTAGAAATATTAAGTGTTTGTGATTACATCAAACTCTCAGTAACATTAAGTAGTAGGTCAACTATAATTGTTAAATCATTCTGAGATGTACATGTCATTTGACCAAGTTTATCTGACCATGACCTTATTTTCACACATTGATTATGGTAACCTTGTTTTATTCCTGTAGTAAGACATTGATCTCAAATAATTTGAAAAGAAACTCAGTCGTAATCAGCAAAGCAGGATAGATGTTTCTTCTTGTGCACTCTGTACATTTATTTGTCATTATGATTTTGAGTAATTATAGAGATATCTTTTTGAAAATCAAAGCAACTGTCAGTTTTCTGTTAATGTTAGATTATGATATTGTGTATTTATAGAGCAATTTATCTCAAATACTTTCAAAAGAAAAGAAAATTCAGTCATTATCAGTAAACCAGCCTAGACATCTCAGCATGTGCACTCTGTACAGTTATTTGTGGTTTTGATTTGAGTGATGTAACTATACATTTGTCTGTGCATTTTTGTTTATAGAGCAATCTACTGTAACAAAAAAGTAACTGTACAGTTATCCAATGACATGACACCTCATTATGAAAGACAGAGGATAATGATCCAGGTAAGATTTTCAAAGTTAGAGTAATTTTGATATTAAAGAAGATTGCATTAAAAATTTTAGCTGCTAAACCAGGTAGCTCGTCCATCACAATGCCTATCAGATGATATAGATATACCATTTTTAGCTGTTATTTATGAAAATTCACCAGTATGTAATTTTGTTCATTTATGATTATATATAATGAAATGAACTGATTAACCGAACTCATGAAATTATCAGATTTGAAGGTATATGTGTGTCAGTCTGATTTATAACTATTTAATACACAATAAGTTAAGTTCAAAATTTTAATTGGAACTTATATATAAGTTTTTTTGCATTTGAAAAGGAGTATGTATGAATTATTCATAAAAAACGAAAATTACATTACTAGTAAGGTTTTATAAATTTATATATGAAATGAAAAGCAATTATTGCAGACAGCAACCAATGACCACTGGATTACATGCTCCTGACTTGGGACAGCCATATAAAGAATATGGTGGGGTTTAACATGTTTCTGAGTGCTCATCCCTCCCCTAACCTGAGACAATGGAGTAACAGCACAGCATAAGATCTTGATAGTATAAATATGTAAAACTATTGATTCATATGAAACACAAGAATTTTCTCAGTATATCTTCTTCAACTTTTGATCAAAATATTGAATTCATTAAAACATACTGACATACTTGTTCAGGCCATGACACGTCCAGAATTAATTGGTGAAGACTTTACTTACAACGAATATACCAGACGGATAACCAGAAACGATATTGGGAAAAGAATACTGTATAGAGGGCCCATGATGACAGGATGGTATGTTAATATTTGATCTCAGGTTTTGATACTATGTAGATGGATATTTTGTCATTAATTGACAGATTCATACTCAAAAGACTATTATTTACACAATCTTCGTTCAATACAGATACATTCTTATTTTCCACAAATTAGGAAAAGCAAATGAACTCAAATCCATGATAAATATCACTTGGGAATAGTGGGAAAATACTTTTTGATTCAAATGATGGAAGAAAGTGGAAAATGACTGTCATACATGTATTTCTGACTTGGTATGGATTCCTCCCATGGGAAAGAATTCTTGGAGTTTCTTACAACTTCAAAGCAGGTAAATGTCAGTTGTTTTTAATTTTCAGATTATTCATGGAAAGCTGATAAAAAAATCAAATCTAGAACATAGATGATGAGCAGTTATGTATTTTTTTCAGGTTTGAATTTATAGTTTTTACGTTGAACAATCAAATAAGCTACAGAAGACTTATGGCAGACAAAAATTAAAACAAAACTGTACAAAAATATATGATTAAAGTATTTTGTTTTTTAAGGTCTTACAAAGTAGCTGATGAGGAAGATTTGAAAGTGCCCTTAATATTTAAACTTGGAGGAAAGGTATTCAATTATTTCCAATTTTTTTTTTATATAACAATTTTTCACAGGTAACACAGTGATACCTGTCTAAACCGGACATCTTTTGGAATGCATTTTTATACGATCGCAAAAAATTTTATCACGTCAGCGTCGTCCGAAGACATTTGGTTTCCGGACAATAACTTTAGTAGTGTAAATAGAAATCTATGAAATTTAAACACAAGGTTTATAACCACAAAAGAAAGGTTGGGATTGATTTTGGGGGTTATAGTCCTAACAGTTTAGGAATTAGGGGCCAAAAAGGGGCCCAAATAAGCATATTTCTAGTTTCCAGACAATAACTTGTGGAACGGTGTATGGATTTCTCTGAAATTATACCACAAGTTTCCATACCACAAAGGGATGGTTAGGATTGGCTTTTGGGGGTTATGGCTCAAACCGATAAGGAATTAGGGGCAAAAAAGGGGGAAAAACAAGGGTTTCCTGGTTAATGGACAATTAAAAAAAAGTAAAATGTTATGTTTGGATTACCTCCTTTACACTGCTTTTAAATTATGTATAAAGAAATGTTTTATTGTCTTGAGGTGATTAGCTGTCAATTTATTTTTAGAAGTTACTATTTGAAAATGCTGATTAAGGAATATTAATTTTAGCCATGATTATGTATGTCATTTTCTATTTTAAGACTTTTATGATGTATTTAAATAGGTAGTTATGGTTGCATTGCAACTCCATTGGAAATTTGAATTGAGATTATGACCATATCTTGAGGGAAAGAATTTTTTTTTTGGAAAAAGGGATTGGGGGAGGTGAAAAAAAAATTGGGGAAGGGGGGGGGGGGGGAGTAAAAAAGAAATTGTGAGGGGGGGGGACAATTTTATCTCATTTCAGATTTCAGAAATTAAAAAGAAAATTTCTTCAAATATTATTTTTTTTGGCAAAAAAAAAGGGGGGGGGGGGGGGGGGGGGGTAAAAAAAAAATTTTGTTGGGGGAGGGGGGGTCAATTTGCAACAGCATAGTGTATTGCACAAAAGCAAAAAATTGAATATAAATTCAATCATATAACCAATTCTAAGTTCTTTGACTACAGTTATTCTGTGTCAGAAACCTATTACTGTAAATTCAGAAATTATTGCGTGCATTTATTATTTCGATTTTGTCATTTTAAACTAAAATGCGATTTTATTTTTTGCGATATTGAGAAAAATCCTGTTTAATTCATATAAAAAAAATTGAAAATGCGAGTTTAAATTATTGCGATTATAACCCTGTCGCATTTTTCGCAATAATAAAAACATCGCAATAATTTCTGAATTTACAGTATGTGTCAAATATTTGATTACAATCCAAATTCAGACCTGTATCAAGCGCGAATATTGTGTCCATTTTTGCCCCAACTGTTCAGGGTTGGACCTCTACGGTCGTATCCAGCTGCGCTCGGTGAAGCAATTTATTTTCTGATGAAACAGGTATTTGATTACACAGGTCGAGTTCTAAGGAATATTTGTTAAAATATTCGGGTAGGAAAGTTCAGTTTGGACATGTTTCTCTATGCAAGAAAAATTTCAATTTGTTTTCCTTATTCCAAAGATGGCACATTGGAAGTATTGGGTTACCATACATACACACAGTAAAGGGTTAATCTATTAAAAGGGGTCATATGTCTATTGATTTCAAGTAATATACATACACAACAAGACACTGTAAAGTAATTAAAATTACATTTTTTACACATACCCAACATTTGAGGTTTATTTGATTATTTTTCAAATGTTGACATGTACGAAGTATATCAGGACATCACATTTTCATCACAATTTATTACATAAATCTTGCACATGTCTCTGAAATACAAAAGAATTGAAGTCTTAAATGAAAATATAGACTGAGTAACTGGTTATATAACTTTGAACACACTTCAGTGTAGAGGATAAGTATATAAACTTCCTTAATAAATGTTCAATTTTTCAAGTTGCTGCACAAATTTGACATCACATACATTCAGAGTAGTTTATTTTTCTAGGTTTTCTAGGTTGTACATATACATTTCCAAAGTATGTTGTTAGTTTTACAGATTTTACATGTTTCTATGCTGATACACAAATTTATTAGAAGAGAAAATAGTATTTTATGAAATTGTGAGTATTTAAAATATTTTTTTCAGTCGAGACTTATGCAAACCATTGGTGTTTCTAGAGGTTTTGGGGACCATGATTTGAGAGTTTTTGATTCAAGAATATATTTAAAACCACTCTTATCTGCTGTTCCAGAGGTAAGATAGCTAATCTTTGATTGATTGATTGTTGGTGTTTTAACTCCACTTTTAAGCGCCACATTTGGGCTATTTTGTGTCGGTCAGTTTTTATAGGTGGAGGAAGCCAGAGTGCCGAGAGAAATCCACTGACCTGTGATAGGAAAACTGACAATCCTAGTCAATTATTAGAGTCGAGTGCACCTGCACGAGCGGGGTTCGAACTCACAACCTCAGTGTTGACTGGCTAGTGATTACAGAAGTAGAACTACTTTGACCACTTGGCCACCGAGGCCCCTAATCTTTGTTTTTGTGACATCCAGGATGTTGATGTCTACAGTTAAACCTGCCTTAACAGTCACCTTGTTTCTGCGGTCACCTGTGTCTAACATCACTTTCAGACACTCCCAAACATTTTTTTTATCTATATAATTTAACTCTTTTCATTGGTCACCTGTATAATGTGGTCAGCTGTCACATAATTTTTGCATGAAATTGTCATTTCAACTTTTAACAACAGTTATTTTAATGTTTTTAACTACCAATATAATGATAAATCATGACAACAAACATATGTGTTCAGTATTGAAGTCAAAAAGAAAATAGGAACCTGTTTGCGACCAAGATCGTGCAATAGGAGGTGAAATCGTGAATTCCTTGTGTTCTACTCCTTTCAGTTTCAGTTGAAAACAGTCTCACCAACTTATTTCTCCACAAATATTAAATTATTTTGAAAATTTTCTTCCAATATTCAACGCCGGAATCCACCATTTTTTATTCAATGCTCGCAAGAAGGATAACTCTACTGATTGAAAACACTAAAACACTTTGCCGTGATACTGGCCACAGGAGATGTTGGAATAAGAATTTTTCAGAACCTCTTTTAAAAGGTCACCTCTCTTGAACAGTCACTTTTAATGCTTCCCATGAGTGACTGCTTAATATATGTTTACCTGCATTATAATTTTGGACAACACTGATTAATCAGTTAGTTTATAATACCCACCTTTTCAAACTGAATTAGGTGATAATTTAAAGAAAAAAGAAAAAGAGAGAAGCAGAAGTAAGTAGTAGCTTGGTTTTAATTACACAATGCAAATAAATTGTGGATGGATTCAAAACATCCACATGCATAAAAAAAATTTAGGAATCCAAAAACACTTTTTTGCAGTCTTACCTAAGTTAATATTTATGTATAAGATAATGCAATTACATAGCAAGAGATAACATTTTATATTTTAAGGTAAAAGTTTTTGATCTGAAATCCAATGTAGAAGATGCTGTATTAGTAATGGCTTCTGATGGATTATGGGATGTCATAACAACAGAAGATGTTCGAACAACTGTATATAATGTGTTGAATCAGAGTAGGAAGGATGATCCTAAAAGGTCTATATATTTACAAGGTTTACACAGGCACTTGTCTCAGAATATATTACCTATATACCTTAAAATATAACACAAGGTACCAAACTCGCATTTTTGGGAAATGACACACGCTTGCTACTTATATATATTTCAATTCCATGGTTGTCTTTCCGACTGAAGCTTATTATGTCGTAAATTTACATTAAAATATCTACAAAATGGTGTATGGCATGCCTATTTCTGATGTTAGAATCATTGTAGTAGGTCTTCCAAGTAGGTTTACCTTAAATTATTTCGTTTCTCACAGCAAAATAGCAATGTCGATATGGCAGTGAATGATTGTTTATAAAATTATTTCCCAAAAGCCTGTTAAGTGCTTCTCTGAATAGAATCCATATAGTAAATTTTTAAAAGATACTGTAATAAAAAAATGTAAAAAGTGTTATTTGAGGTATTGCAAATGTGTTAGGAATTTCTATTTTTAAACTCAAATTTTCCCATTCTATCAATTTCGTTGAGACTCTGGACTTCACATATAATAACAAGCTTCAGTTGGATAGACAACTGCAGATTCAAAATATAACAAAAGTTTGCGACCAAGTGACATTTCTCAAAAATCTGATTTGGGAACCTTGTGTTACTGTGAATTCAGAAATTATTGTGAGTTTTTTATTAATGCAAACATTGAGACTGGGTGAGTATCGCATTAATAAGAACTCCTATTCTGATACCTGATACATATATCTGTATGAGGCTTTTCCTGAAATTGCAAAAATTTATATCGCATTTTTTTTCAATCTTCATGCAATAATTTCTGAATTACAGTATATTAAGGTATATAGAAAATATTTTTTCAGAGACAAGTGCGTTTGAAGATTTATCATTAAGTATTTTTCATCCATTTATCATTTTTACTTAATTGACTCTTTAATATTAGATTTAGATAAAGCAGAAATGCCAGCAAAAAGTTAAATGAAAAAAAAAAGAATTTCCTTGGGTTTACCAAATATTTGCAGAAGTTGAAAGGAGTAGGGGCAATACAGCCCTTATTTGGCCCAAATATTAGTGCGAATTAAAAAGTTACAATACATATTCTTAAATTTGTCATAACCACACTAAGATACATGGTGTTCAGAAAATAAAAACAAATTTCACATTTAAGGATTTACCATGGCAACAAACCATGACAAAATTTATATGCTTTGTAAAATTTCTTAATTTCCCTTGTGTTGCGTCAACTTTTAAGTATATATTAGATTGGAAATGTATGTGTGCACGCAAGAAACAATTTTATATTTAGTGAGAATATGTCAATAGTTATAATAAAGCTTCTCTTTAATTATTTAGTTGATTCTTGCCTGTGCACAATGTTTCCTCAAAAGAAATAATTATGGAAAACTGCATAAACTCTGCAGTTTTCTTTGTTTTCATGATAATGGTGCATATTGTGATGTCTTAATTAAAAATCTTATGTTATGCATTTATATTTCTTTATTTTATGCATTTCCAAACATTATGTGCAAATTTTGAATAGTTCTAAAAACACTTTAGTTTCTTGGGCCAAAACCGGGCCTTAATGCCCCTACTCCTTTGAGTAGAAAACATCCATAATTGCTGACTGATTAAAGACATGATAAATTTTAATGTTGAACTCCACAGTAGTTAAAGAGTTTTGTTTTCTGTAGATTTAATGCAGTTGCTCAAGAATTAGTGATGCAAGCCAGAGGGACCCCAGTTCATGGAATGAATGGTTGGACTAAAAAAGATGGATCTGCAGGATCCTTTGATGACATTACAGTATTAGTTATACCATTGGGAGATGGTGTTTAATTTATGTGCAATCAAATTTTTATTGGACTAGGTGGATTTGTGATGTGCAATTGTGTATATAGGTGCTTATCAAATGAAAAAAAGGGTTCATATGATGATTTAATTAAAGTTACGGCAACATAAGAATGAAACTTCCATAGTATTGCCCCACTGAAACTTGCTGCTCTATTTTATCTTGAAATTATATTGATAATTGTTTTGATGTTCTTAACTTTTTAGCATTCCAAATATTTTAGTACCTCAACTAAAATCTGGGTCCCAAGGGTCTCATAATCAAGTTGACCTAAATAAAACGTAAGAATGGAATATTGCCTATGCATAATTTTATCAGCTTTCTTTAATTAATTTTTAATGACATCATTACATTTGATGCAAGTTTTGCAAAAAAGTTATCTTTTACATAAGAATAAGAATTTGCTTCCAAAATAGTTTTCATTTGAAATATATAGTCAGACTTTTTTAAATATAATTACATCCACATTAGATGCAACTAAACAAATAAGTTGAATATTACATTGTAAATTGGGTTTAACTTGTGAAAAAAATAACAAAAATGCATTAATAAGTAGGAAAAATTTAATGAACAAAAAAAGTACAGAATGCAGGATTAAATTTATCATTATTTCAAAATGTGTCTATGGAGTTTTCAAAACAGTATATCAGGCTATATCAGGAAATATAGTTTGTTCTGACTATACATGAAAAGGGGGAGCAAGTGTTGGAGAAAGGAGGCATGATTGTATGCAGTCATGGACCATTGACTTAAAAAAATCATAATTCATATATTAAAGATTGTGATTATATTGGTTTAAGGGGAATAACTTGATAATAATATTTGGTAAACAGTTGTATTATCATTGGCATATATCATTTCTAAAGGGATTATTTGACCTCAGTCATGGTTCGTTGACTTTGAAATTGTTGCATAGTTTACATGTTAAAGTATTGCCATTTTAATTTCTACATTTGCATTATACTATCAAAACACCATATATATCTCTGTGTCAACAATTTATTACATATTTAAACATTTTAAATGTTTAGCAGTATTTTTTATGTAGGATGTCCATTTATTTTGCAATTTAGACATTTTAGCTAATTTCTCCTAGAAGACTAATTGATCTTTGTTTTTGCAAAAACCAATGGATTAGACCTTTTCTTGCTGGCATTTAAATATATGCTGCCTAAATATTTGATTCACAAAACCTGCTTATATGAACTTCACAGCATGCTGGGCTTAACACATGATTGTGTTTATTGTAAGATGGTGAATCAATTGCAATATTTGGTTGGTTGTGATTTTGTGCAATTGCAAGCAAAATTTATTAATTAATTAATTCTTTTTTCAGCATCTTTTTTTGTGTAATTTTAAGCATACACTGAAATATTTGGATCCAGCACAATTTATTATAATGTAGGACCTATAGATGATTTAGGTCAAGTGTAGTTTGAACTGTAACATGATTTCAATGGAGAAGCAGCTTTATATTGTAATTTACAGTTGGTCTAATTATCAATGATTATGTTTGTAAGAAGAGTAATTCTTGCTATATGGAGCCTGTAGTTTCTTTAAGATGACACATGTATAAATTGTTTCTCATTTTTGTTCTTGTTTTATTACAACAAGAAAGCATTTTATATTTACACACATTTTTCACTTTGATTTTATACAAGATGGTGTATTAAAAGAATGTACAATTTTATCCAATATAGTGCCAAAACTTAGTTGTGCCAACATTTATTGATAAACAGACAATCTTTATTGTCTCTAAAACCAAAACTACCAATCATCCTTAACATACAAAGAAATCAAGTCATTAATGAAATTATAGTGTGATATCTGAAATGAGAAAGTATCTACTATTAAAAAAAGATGTTTCCAAAATTAAAATTTAAATTGTGTGTTGAATTTTACTTTTTTTGGCAAAAACTAATTTGAGAATCATAATTTATTATGAATCTGCCAAATAACATATTTCAGATGTTCTTAAGACATTAGACTTTCATTCATCAATATTCATATTTTCAGTTTGTGTTGCATGATTTCAATGGAGAAGCATTAGGGCTTTATACTTCATACATTTTGAGCAAAACTGCAAAAAACTTCCCATTATTAGTTAGATATGACCTAAGGCGTTACCCATACACAATCTAATTTAAATGCAAATGTGTGTAATGTACCTTTTTGTGTAAGGCCATGTCTCATATATATTTTGACCAAAAACCACATGTAAAATGACCAAATAGGCCAAATATGTCAATTTTGATATGTTTATGATGTCATAGCAACATCACAAGCTTTCTGCACTAAAAGTAAATCATTATGTTCATATTTTTATAATATTAAGATTACTTGGAAAGTCTTAGATAATTTGACTATTTTTGCAATTTAATGGTTCAAATAATGACTCTGATCATACATCTTCCTTTAAATCTTATTCTTATTCTGATTGATTAGAATTTCCTATCCTTAAAATGGGCACAAATCAAACAGTCAAAATATACAACAATAAAGGATTCAAAGAACTTAATTTGTTCAATATTTTTTGGGGAAATTTTGTTTTTTCCTAACATGTTAACAATTAGACACAACAGTGAACTTGTCAGATTTATCCGAATTTTTGTTTTGTTGTATAACTCTACACAGTTAGGTGACTGAATAATTTGTCCAACTTTTACTAGTTTTAAATCTTTTTTCCCAATTTGCTTACTTCCTTATTGGTGCAGAAGTTATCTTTTACTGAGGGTCCAAAATTAAATATAATTATGATTTTCATATATATATTTAAGATAATTATGCATAAATAAAACTGATATTTAGAGAGACATACTACTGTTATATACGAATAAATACCACAAAAATGTAAAACCTACATTCCAGCAAAAATAGTTTGAACATAGAAATTTTAAGGAGGCTTGTGCCCCAAAAGGTTCATTTTCTTACAATTTCAAATTTACTGTACACCAACTTAATATTGTGAGCCATTTATATACTCCCATCAGATGTTCATATGACATTAATCTGTTGGACATCAGTATTTATATTTTTGAATTTTACATATTGGCATTAGGGCCTCTAACTTGTAACATTTAATGCCAAACAGCAAAAACTGCCAAAATAGCCTCATTTTGAGATCTTGTCATTACTATTTGGATATGAGCAACATATTTACCCCAAAACATATTTTGCTTCAAAAATGTATTTTTCAAGGATGTTTATGTGTGTTAAATATTTTTGGGTAAAGCTGTTGCTCATAGAAATTTTCACCAAAAAGTGGCAAAAACTGTGTGTGGAATGGCCATTTAGATCAAATACATTAATTTTGACATTTTTATAGTGACCTTTCTGCACTAAAGTGTCCAAATTATATTAACCTGTTCATTTATCAATCAATTTAACATACTTTAAAAGGCTTGAATATTTTTACAATTTTTGAAATTTGAGGAGCTAAATAATGGCTCCTCCTTTGTTGGATATTCTCTCCAATGTATTTATTAACAAAGTTACAAAATCGTGGAAATAAATTGCTTTAATAAAGTGGACTAGGAAGGGATAAACCTATTAAAAGAATCCACAAAATGAGTTGATTTACTGTAATATTTGCATTTAGAGATTGTATCTTTGGTAGGATCCACTTACATAATGTCAGATTGTTCTGTTAACTCTTGTTCTATTTCATTAGTGGTTATTTTGTCTTCCATTTTCCCCAGTATGATTTAATAAGTAGAGTAGATGTAAATACATTTTTGTAGCAGAAGGAAATATACACATGTATAAATGGCAAAACAGAATTTACAAACTTTAGATTCAATGTTGTTATACATTCGGTAGATGAATCCTTCAATGGTTTATTTTTGACAGTTACAGTGTATTTCAGTCAACATTGTAACTGTCCAGGGCAAGTTATATACAGTCTCATGACAACAAATTAAGAAATAATCTGTGGTGTATTATATATTATCATACTCATTTTCATTACATTTGTATTTAAATTTGTTGACCAAATGTGAGCGTTGAGTGTTTGTTATTCTTTTTTATTGTTAATTTATTTGAATTCAAAGATATTGATTAAACTATTTATTTTATCAGCCATATTAGTTTGATTTATAGTTATAATAAAATTTCCATTGTTATTTTTATACAATATGGAAGACAAGACATTTTGGAATACCCATTGTCCATTTATAGTTCCAATCTTGTCTTAATGGGACCAGTTTGTTTAAACAAAAATTAAAAAAAAACTTTTTTTTTAGCTCACCTGACCCAAAGAGCCAAGGGAGCTATTGCCATCCCTTGATGTCTGTCATCATCATAAACTTTTTTAAAGATCTTTTCCTCTGAAACTACAGAACAAATTTGAACCAAATTTGGGTGAATGATCTCATGGTATCTAGTATCCAGTTTGGGATTGTTATTCTGGTCAGTCAACAAACATGGCGATGCAGTGTTTGGCTTACATATCAAAAACTAAAGCAGTTAGACCAAAACTGACTGGGGTAAATGTGATCAGCAGATCAAGATTGATTTGTTTGGAAATTTTCAGACGAATCAAACAACATAATTTAGAGTTATTACATGTACCCTGAAATAATAATTTTTATAAAATTTATTATCTTGAAAACTATTATAGATACAGCAAAATTTTAAACAGCAAAACTGCTCAGCACTGAGTGAAGAAAGATCTACCTTTAAGTCTAAAGACTGAATTCTTCAATTGTTCCTTATAGTAGTTATTGCCCATGAAAGATGATTTTTACCGAAACTATGAGAGATTGATAGAATCTTTAAAAGGTTTGTTTAAACACAAATTTATATACAGTTTAATTGAAGTCTGGAGCTGGCATGTCAGTAACTGCTAGTATTCCTTTGTTAATTTATGTTGATTGTCATTTTGCTTAGTTTCTTCTGTTACCTGTTCTAACATAGGACTCTGACTTCTTTTAAACTGAGTTTTACTGTGTGTATTGCTGCATGTTTGTGTATTCCACATTTGCTAGGGGAAGGGTTGAGATCTCACAAAACGAGTTTAACCCCTCCACATTTTTGCGCCTGTCCAAAGTCAAGAAACTATCTCGTGTGTTCTTTTAATTTAGATTCCTTCGATAGATTAGGAGTTAAGAATGGCATCCATTTTGTGGAACTAATATACATTACTGTTTAGGGCCAGCTGAAGCCCACATCTGGGTGTGGATTTTCTCTCTGCATTGAAGACCCATTGGTGGTCTTGGCCTGTTTTCTGCTCTTTGGTCAGGTTGTTATCTCTTTGGCATGTTCCTTATTTCCATTCTCTATTGAACAGAAAAATAATCATTGATGCAAGATCTTCACAAAATTCCTTTATAAATGGAAAAATTGCTGAATTTTTCATTTCCGTTCTCTGACTTTATTTTGCCTCAAACAAATGTTATGACAATTATACACAATGCTTATTATCATAAAACACAGATCAAGTTCGAAGTTGAGTGGTATTACCTTTACAGTTCTCTAGTTATGTCCCTTTATAACTTTATATGCAAGCAGGGGCATCATCTGTGTCCCATGGACTTATGATTTTTTTTTCATAAAATCTTATTTCTATGAGGCAGGGCTAGTTTTTCGAGGACATTTGGTTTCCAGACAATAACTTGAATATAAGTGTATGGATCTCTATGAAATTGTACCACAATGTTCCATACTACAAAAGGAAGGTTGGGATTGATTTTGGTAGTTATTGCCCCAGTTGTTTAGGAATTCACCTTTTTAGGGTTCAAAAAGGGGCCAATAACTTGTGTATAAGTGTATGGATCTCTATGAAATTTTACAAGGTTTTTTTTCTCTTTATTTTATTTTTTCAAAACACATAACACATAATATACAAGGGTATATCAATTATCATTAACAGTGCAGATACTAGTAATAAAATTAATTTTAATAATTCTTAAAATTACTATTTTCTGAAGAACAGTTTGAGTTTTCTCCTTTAAACAAATTCATGTGTGTTTTGTTTCATTTTTACAGAGAAATTTTCAAGAAAAAAAAAAAAAGGAAATGAGAAATCAATATAATAAAAACAACACAGAATTTTATTGTGGAAGAAAAAGTTTTAAGTTGTAGGGAAAAAAAGGAAAATTTGGTCATTGGTGGTTTGCTCTATATATCATTACATTTATATGGTACTTTTTACCACAAGGATCCTTACTTCTAAAGGAAGGTTGGGATTGCTTTTGGGGGTCATGGCCAAAACCGTTTGTGAATTAGGGACCAGAAAGGGGCAAAAAAACTATGATTTTCGGGTTTCCAGACAATAACTTGAGTATAAGTGTATGGATCTCTATGAAATTGTACCACAAGGTTCCATACCAAAAAAGGAAGGATGGGATTGATTTTGGGGGTATGGCCCTCAATGTTTAGGGGTAAAAAAAAACCAATACTTTTCTAATACTTTGTATAAACTGCTTATTTCTTGACCAATTTCAATGGGGTTTAATTTAAAGTCTTGATTTCTTAGGGTGCTTAATTGTGCTGAATCTAACCGTGTATTTAGATTTTTGATTTAGGACCCCATCATTAAATTGGTTCACATTGAGGTCCAAAGAGTCCAAAATTAAACTTTGTTTGATTTCAACAAGAATTGAATTCTTGGGCTTCTTTACAGCTCTTTTCATAATGCTAGCAAGACAAAGGTTTGTTTGACATGCTTGCTTTGTTTGTATGAATGTTTGCTCAAGCATTGTAATTAAGATTGACATCTGCAAACAATATAAGTAGGTGGAGTTATAAAGCATTATAAAAAGAGCTGTAATATGCTGAAGAATCTAACCTTGTATTTAGATTTTTTATTTTGGGCCCGGTCTGTTTTTCTAATACTGTATGCATTAGATCAACTAAGTTTGATGTATGGAAATATTTTATGATGTTTATTTTAGTGTGGCAGGTTTTATTTGACCTTTGAGAAATGTTAAGTTTTTGTGTTTTGGTCTGTTTTTTTTTTAAACTATAAGCCTATGTCAACTATATTTGGTATATGAAATGTTTGTAAGGTGTATATATCTGTCTGGCAGGTATCATCTGACCTTGACCTCATTTTCATGGTTTATTGGTCAATGTTAAGCTTTCCTAGTTAAGTTTGTTTCTTAAATATTATATGCAATAGGTCAACTATATTTGATCCATATAATAATTGTAAGGTGTATATGTCTGTCTGACAGGATTCATTTGACCTGGACCTCATTTTCATTGTTCATTGGTCAATATAAAGTTTTCATGGTATAGTCTGTCTCTTATATACTATATAAGTAATAGGTCAACTATATTTGGTGTGTGGAAAGATTGTAAGGTGTATATGTTCAATTGTACTTCTGGCTTGGTTTATATGACCTTGACCTCATTTTCTTGGATCATATAAAAGTTTATATGATACTTGTAGTAAAACTTTAAATTTAGCCCTATCAGCATAAAATCAATGGTCAGTAAAGCAGGCGAGACATTTCAGTGTGTGCACTCTTGTTTTATGAAGTGAACCCTTTTACAAACTAAGCTCATTTTGTCCATCAATAAATAAATAAAGTAAATTCTTGATGTACTTGGATATGCTGAATCTAACCGTGTATTTAGATTTTGGGTATTGGACCATAATAGGTTAAAGTCCAATTTCAAATTTTTCAGTTCTTTGACCACATCCAATGTCTCAGAAACCTATGATGTGTCAAATATTTAATCACAATCCAAATTCAGAGCTGTATCAAGCTTGAATGTAGTGTCCATACTTGCCCCAACTGTTAACTGTTCAGGGTTCTATCATTTTATTTATGATTTTGATAATTGCATTAATCTGTTATGAGGTACATTATTCCTTGGATCTTGTTCATTAAAAAATTTATCAACTGGGAGATATGTGCTCCATATTCAGGCACTGCTGGAATGTTGCTCCTAGAAAATGGTAAGTTGAAATGTTCTCTTTTGTCGATTAATTAAAGTTTTTAATTTCTAACGTAAGTGAAGATAAGTGGCCAACTTTAATGTATTCATGGTATCCTATATATCAATTTGAATAGAGGTGCATTGTTCAACAGACACCAAACTTTGAATAAATTAGTGAGAGGATATTAACTATATAGCTAGATGTGAAGTTTCTTTTCATTTTTTCTGAGATGCTCCTGTGTGAAGTCTGCCTCGTATGATTAAAGGAACAAGTCTGCAAGGAGAGGAGCAATTGGCTGTCATATGATTGCTGATTATCTGTTGAAAACAGGTCTTCAAAAGGTAACAAATATATTGTAAGAAAAATATCAAGCATTCTGATGTCAGTTTCAGAGAACTTTTTTTTTTTTTTTAGAAAGTATTATTTATCCCTCCCTTAAACAAGATATTTGTGTCTATATTGGCCATTCTTTTCACTGTCTATTAAGTTTAAAAAGAGAAATATTAGTGTATAGGTATACTGTCAAATGTTTTTTTACAGCTTCATGAGGCAAGATGAATTACCGTGTTTGTAAGCACTGATGGGTAGACCCATTTTCATTTTGCATCATGAATTTAAAATTAACATTGCATAACCACTTTTGTAATTCAAAACCACAAAACAGGAAGAGGGATTAAATTTCAGTAGTACATAATGTTCTTGAAAAAAAAATGTGTGATGAAAACTTTTAAGTTCATTCAACACATTGTAAAATTCAAAGGATCTGTAAACAGGAAGTAGGTGTCTGCTAGACCTGAAAAGTGCTTTGACATTAAATCTCATCACTATCAAGCTGCTTATCAAATATGAAGTCATTCTGTTTGGAGATAAATGTGACACAATTTTTTAAGTTAATTGAATACATTGAAAAATTCTATGTATCTGCATAAAAGAAGTAGGTGTGCTCACATGTTACAACTCATCACTGGGAAGCTGCTGTCTAAATATGCTTTAGCCTGAACATGCATGAAATATTTGACACTGGACGTTAAGCAAACATTAATCAATCAATCTGAATAAAGAGACGGATGACAAGGTGAATACAAAATAGACCCACTTTAGTATAATAAGCAAAGGAACATATTTAGGCAATATTCAAGTTACAAAATGATGTGTATAATCATATTTATGAAGTATAAGTTTCAGAATGTAGTGCATGGATGTTCTACCCACTAATATGGAAAGAAAAGTTAATTCAAAATATTGCCTATATATTTTTGCTGATCATACTTAAGTGGGGGTTATATGGTATTCACCTTGACCGTCTGACTGTTTGTCTGTTGATTGTTAAAAAATAATAACGCTATTTTAAGTTTCTCTTTTGTTTACTTAAGATACAAAATTGATTACTTATAATGGTACTGTTAAGTAGGATGTAATATGACAAACTGGTCACACAAAATTGTAAAACTTTGGATCATATCCTTCATCACACTTATACACATGCAATACAATACACATCAGTGTTGGCAGTGAATTATTTCCTGGTACATCATATGCATTATGAATTTTATACTAAAAATGGCCCATGGCTACCTGCAATTGAAAATGATATCTAGCAAAACAGTCTTCTAAATGGGACATTAAATGATCATGTACACTTGGTAATACACAAAAATCCTGAAGAAATGGAGGTTTACCTGGATTCACATTTACAACAAATTATTGACATTACAGTAACAACAAGACCTTAAGTTTAAATGGTCTTTAAAAAAAAAACAGAGGATTTATTTCTCTTATTGTTACTGTAACATTATAAGCATAACCAAAGATGGCTGTGTCAAGGGCATTTAGTATTGAAAATAGCCAAGAGGCATGAAAGTGCTAATGACATTGTTCCCTTAGCATTGTTATATATTGATTTGAATGTTCCCTTAGCATTGTTATATATTGATTTGAATGTTCCCTTAGCATTGTTATATATTGATTTGAATGTTCCCTTAGCATTGTTATATATTGATTTGAATGTTCCCTTAGCATTGTTATATATTGATTTGAAATGTAGTCTTTGTGAATTACAAATTTTAGATTTGTTATAATTAACACCTTCACAAAAATGAACGAACAAACAAGCATGGAGGAGATGTTTTTACAACATAACAATGACAGGTGGGCATATAAAATTGGTTCCATGCCCACAACTAAAGCAAAGATAAGTGTGGCACAAAGAATAAAAAAAAAACACAAAAAAAGATAAGAATGAATTGGTTAAAATACTATACAGACATGTGTATGCCATATTTATGTCACTTATGTAGCAAATACATTGTCAGGAGACAATACCTGTTATGAGAATCTTCCTCCTTTTTTTTAAATTGCCTATATTCATTTGCTGTAGATTCTTTTGACATAATTAAAATATACAAAATAAATTATTTGTTTGTATAAACGTAACTATGGTTTGTCTGATGTGTTCAATTAATGTTTAAATTTTTCTAAATTTCAAATAGAACATGATCGGAGTTATTTAAAAACACTAAATCAAAAACATTTTAAATAAAATTTCAAAGCGAAATAGAAATTGAGAGAATTATGAAAGATCAAGTCATGGCAATATTAATATGGTTCATTTATATTCAGTTAAAATACTATTAAGCCTTTCATTTTAAATCAAATTTTAATATCACAAAGTATCTTGAATATGTAATTAAAATATTTTAATACACCTAAACCTTTAAAAAAAAAAACAAAATACAAATATTATGATCTTGTGTCTCTTGCACTCAAATTATTTCAATTAATGTTTATGAGATTGCACATTAGCAGTAAAATAAACAACAATTGTATATGAATCTTTCATAATATGTCCCGTCCATATACAACATTTATAAAACATTCATCACTATTCTTCAAGTCTTTGCTGCCTCCAATATTAAAACATTTCTTTATCACTCAATCATCAATGTAAGGTAACCAAAATGCCTAAAATAAGAAATAAAACAATTGATAAAAATTTAACAGTAAATACCTTTGGATATATGTATAATAACAATAAGTGAATGCACTGAGAGATGAATGCTGATGAAAGATGATGCACCTTATATAGATAACCTATACTTGGATGGATCATCTATCTCAGATAAAGGACAGGTATTAAAGAAATATTGATCATGATCATTTACTTAAAATGAAAGGCTGATAAATTAATACCTCACCATACAAAATTCATATCAAGGCCTCATCACAAATACTTTTAAAATTAAAAAAATAAAATGCTTGGCTGAGCGCAGCCTGATACAACCGCAGTGGTCGAACCCTGAACAGTTGGGGCAAATTTGGACACAATATTCAAGCTTGATACTATCTGAATTTGGATTGTGATCAAATTTTGGACATAATATAGGTTTCTGACACAAAATTAATGTGGTCAAAGATCTTACAAATATAATGCACAATACTGTGCAATTGAAGATTTCTTCTTGAAACTTTTCAAAAATTTGAAATTTTGAAAATTTTGAAAAAAAAATTGGAAACCACCCCTTCCCCCCAAAATTTTTGAATCCCCCTTTTAGTATTAACCATCAAACTCAATTGCAGTCTTTTCTTTGTAGTATAGAACCTTGTAGTACAATTTTAGAGAGATCCATACACTTAATCACAAGTTACTGTCTGGAAACTAGAAAAATGCTTTTTTTTAACGATAAAAGCCCATTTAAATACATCATAAAAGTATTAAAATAGAAAATGACATCATAGTCATGGCTAAAATTAAAAAACCTTCATCAGCAACTTTTAATAGTAATATCTAAAAATTAAAGAACCTTAGTGAGCACGCTCACATACCCCACGTCCCCACATTGTCACTGGAGAAAAAAAATAACTGTAAGAAAAAAAAATTGTATAAGAAAAAAAAATTGAATCATAATTTCCTGTCGATATGCACATCTACATAGTATGTCCTTATTATCTACAAAGTTTCATGAAATTCTGTTGTGTGGTTTCAGAGGAGTTGCGATGACAAACTGTTGCAGAGGTATATTGAAGCAAATAAGTTCAAAGGGGCGTAACTCCTAGAAAAAAAATTGAATCGTAATTTCCTGTCGATATGCACATCTACTTAGTATGTCCTTATTATCTGAAAAGGTTTCATGAAATTCTATTGTGTGGTTTGAGAGGAGTTGCGATGACAAAAGGTTGCAGTAGTATATTGGGCAAATAAGTTCAATGGGGCGTAACTCCTGGAAAAAAAATTGAATCGTAATTTCCTGTCGATATGCACATCTACGTAGTATGTCCTTATTATCTACAAAGTTTCATGAAATTTTGTTGTTTGGTTTCAGAGGAGTTGAGATGACAAACTGTTGCAGTAGTACATAAAAGTAAATAAGTTCAAAGGGGCGTAACTCCTAGAAAAAAAATTGAATCATAATTTCCTGTCGATATGCACATCTACGTAGTATGTCCTTATTATCTACAAAGTTTCATGAAATTCTGTTGTGTGGTTTCAGAGGAGGTGCGATGACAAACTGTTGCAGAGGTTTATTGAAGCAAATAAGTTCAAAGGGGCGTAACTCCTAGAAAAAAAATTGAATTGTAATTTCCTGTCGATATGCACATCTACGTAGTATGTCCTTATTATCTGAAAAGGTTTCATGAAATTCTATTGTGTGGTTTGAGAGGAGTTGCGATGACAAAAGGTTGCAGTAGTATATTGGGCAAATAAGTTCAAAGGGGCGTAACTCCTGGAAAAAAAATTGAATCGTAATTTCCTGTCGATATGCACATCTACGTAGTATGTCCTTATTATCTACAAAGTTTCATGAAATTTTGTTGTGTGGTTTCAGAGGAGTTGAGATGACAAACTGTTGCAGTAGTACATTAAAGTAAATAAGTTCAAAGGGGCGCAACTCCTAGAAAAAAAATTAAATCGTAATTTCCTGTCGATATGCACAACTACATAGTATGTCCTTATTATCTAAAAAGGTTTCGTGAAATTCTGTTGTGTGGTTTGAGAGGAGTTGCGATGACAAGAAACAGGACTGACGGACTGACGGACGGACAGACGGACGGACAGACGGGTCAAAAACATTATACCCTCCGCAACTCGTTGCGTGGGGTATAATAAAATTCCTTCATCAGCATTTAAAAGTCACTTCTAAAAATAAATTGACAGCTAGGACTTCGCAACCATAAAAACCCATTTAAATACATCATAAAAGTATTAAAATAGAAAATGACATCATAATCATGCCTAAAATTAAAAAAACTTTCATCAGCAACATTAAATAGTAATAACTCAAAATAAAATTCCTTCACATACATAATCATGGCTATAATTAAATTGCCTTTATTAAACATTTTTAAAATAGTAACTTCTAAAAATAAATTGACAGCTAATTACCTAAAGACAATACATTTCTTTATAAATAATTTACAAGCAGTGTAAGGGAGGTAATTTGACAATATGTTTGAATTACCTCCCTTTCACTGCCTTAAAATTATGTTTTGTACTTAAGTAATTGTCCATTAACCTGGAAACCCTTGTTTTCCCCCTTTTTCCCCTTAATTCCTAAACAGTTTGAGCCATAACCCCCCAAAGCAAATTCTTACAATCCCTTTGTGATATGGTAATTTGTGGTATAATTTCAGAGAGATCCATACACCATTTCACAAGTTATTGTCTGGAAACTAGAAAAATGCTTATTTGGGCCCCTAATTCCTGAACTGTTAGGACCATAACCCCCAAAATCAATCCCAACCTTCCTTTTGTAGTCATAAACCTTATGGTAAAATTTCATAGAAATCCATACACTTAAACAAAAGTTATTGTCCGGAAACCAATGTGTCTTTGGATGACGACGACAATAAAAATGTGTAAAATGCCATTACTATGTATATTGTACAACATTAATTTTAACTTTTTAAACAGAACTTTATATTTTGTACAAATCTGAAAACCATTGCTTGATAATGTCAGATAGGGATGGACTTTTTTCACAATACTGATAGGCTTGTCTTGATGCATTCTCTAAGTTTCATGACCATATTTGACACAATCAACTTTGATAAAATTGCTTAAATGTCAACTTTAAAAACCCAAGTTCCTCAATACCTTGCAAATAGCTATAGGAATTAAAGATGAGTGTATGCAAGTTACAATTTTAATACTTTGGTGGATGTTTATTTTACTATGCATGCATTAACAATAACATTCATACAACATATATTAACTAGAAGCTCTCAAGAGCCTGTGTCGCTCACCTGATTCTACTTTGGTTTTGGAAATCATGTAAAAATAGATTAAAATCATAACAGATACCCTAATAATGAGTGAGGCCAAATTTGGTTTAATATTGGTCCTGTAATTTAATAAAAAATCCTGGTGGCCATCTTGAACAGTAAATCGGCAACAAAGTAGCAACACTTAATCAGCACCTCATAAGAAACATTTATGCCATGTTTTGGTTTCATTCCATTCAGTGCACCTCTAGAAGAAGCATTTGTATGTATTTCCCATACGGTCTTATGTTAAAGGAAGTCCCCCTATTGGCGGCCATCATGGATGAAGGATCAGCTTCAAAGTAACAAAACTTAGTCAGCACCTCATAAGGAACATTCATGCCATGTTTGGTTTCAATCCATTCAGTATGTGGTTCTCTAAAAGAAGACATTTGTATGTATCATCCATAGGGTCCTTTGTTAAACATTGTCCCCATCTGGCAGCCATCATGGATGAAGGATCAGCTTCAAAGTAACAGCACTTGGTCAGCACCTCAAAAGGAACATGCATGCCATGTTTGGTTTCATTCCATTCAATGGTTCTCTAAAAGAAAACATTTGTACGTATTTCTCATAGGGTCCTATGTTAAACTAAGTCCTCCGCTGGCGGCCATCTTAGATTATGGATCGGCTTCATAGTAACAACACTTGGTCAGCACCTCATAAGGAACATTCATGCCATGTTTGGTTTCATTGCATTCAGTGGTTCTCTAAAAGAAGACATTTGTTTGTATTTCCCATAGGGTCCTATGTTAAACTAAGTCCCCCGCTGGCTGCCATCTTGGATGATGGATCAGCTTCAAAGTAACAACACTTGGTCAGCACCTCATAAGGAACATTCATGCCATGTTTGGTTTCATTGCATTCAGTGGTTCTCTAAAAGAAGACATTTGTATGTATTTCCTATAGGGTCCTATGTTAAACTAAGTCCCCCGCTGGCTGCCATCTTGGATGATGGATCAGCTTCAAAGTAACAACACTTGGTCAGCACCTCATAAGGAATATTCATGCCATGTTTGGTTTCATTGCATTCAGTGGTTCTCTAAAAGAAGACATTTGTATGTATTTCCCATAGGGTCCTATGTTAAACTAAGTCCCTCTCTGGCGGCCATCTTGGATGATGGATCGGCTTCAAAGTAACAACACTTAGTCAAGACCTCATAAGGAACATTCATGCCATGTTTGGTTTCATTGCATTCAGTGGTTCTCTAAAAGAAGACATTTGTATGTATTTCCCATAGGGTCCCATGTTAAACTAAGTCCCTCACTGGCGGCCATTTTGGATGATGGAACAGCTACAAAGTAACAACACTTGGTCAGCACCTTGTAAGGAACATTCATGCTATGTTTTGTTTCATTCCATTCAGTGGTTCTCTAAAAGAAGTCATTTGTATGCATTTCCCATAGGGTCCTATGTTAAATTAAGTCCTCCGCTGGCGGCCATCTTGGATGATGGATCAGCTACAAAGTAACAACACTTGGTCAGCACCTCCTAATGAACATTCATGCTATGTTTTGTTTCATTCCATTCAGTGGTTCTCTAAAAGAAGTCATTTGTATGCATTTCCCATAGGGTCCTATGTTAAACTAAGTCCCTCACTGGTGGCCATTTTGGATGATGGAACAGCTACAAAGTAACAACACTTGGTCAGCACCTTGTAAGGAACATTCATGCTATGTTTTGTTACATTCCATTCAGTGGTTCTCTAAAAGAAGTCATTTGTATGCATTTCCCATAGGGTCCTATGTTAAACTAAGTCCCCCGCTGGCTGCCATCTTGGATGATGGATCAGCTTCAAAGTAACAACACTTGGTCAGCACCTCATAAGGAACATTCATGCCATGTTTGGTTTCATTGCATTCAGTGGTTCTCTAAAAGAAGTCATTTGTATGCATTTCCCATAGGGTCCTATGTTAAACTAAGTCCCTCACTGGCGGCCATTTTGGATGATGGAACAGCTACAAAGTAACAACACTTGGTCAGCACCTCATAAGGAATATTCATGCCATGTTTGGTTTCATTGCATTCAGTGGTTCTCTAAAAGAAGACATTTGTATGTATTTCCCATAGGGTCCTATGTTAAACTAAGTCCCTCTCTGGCGGCCATCTTGGATGATGGATCGGCTTCAAAGTAACAACACTTAGTCAAGACCTCATAAGGAACATTCATGCCATGTTTGGTTTCATTGCATTCAGTGGTTCTCTAAAAGAAGACATTTGTATGTATTTCCCATAGGGTCCCATGTTAAACTAAGTCCCCCGCTGGCATCCATCTTGGATTATGGATCGGCTTCAAAGTAACAACACTCGGTCAGCACCTCATAAAGAACATTCATACCATGTTTGGTTTCATTCCATTCAGTGGTTCTCTAAAAGAAGACATTTGTATGTATTTCCCATAGGGTGGTATGTTAAACTAAGTCCCCCGCTGGCGGCCATCTTGGATTATGGATCGGCTTCAAAGTAACAACACTCTGTCAGCACCTCATAAGAAACATTCATGCAATGTTTGGTTTCATTCCATTCAGTGGTTCTCTAAAAGAAGACATTTGTATGTATTTCCCATAGGGTCCTATGTTAAACTAAGTCCCCCGCTTGCGGCCATCTTGGATTATGGATCAGCTTCAAAGTAACAACACTCAGTCAGCACCTCATAAGGAACATTCATACCATGTTTGGTTTTATTCCATTCAGTGGTTCTCTAAAAGAAGACATTTGTATGTATTTCCCATAGGTCCTATGTTAAACTAAGTCCCCCGCTGGCGGCCATCTTGGATTATGGATCGGCTTCAAAGTAACAACACTCGGTCAGCACCTCATAAGGAACATTCATACCATGTTTGGTTTCATTCCGTTCAGTGGTTCTATAAAAGAAGACATTTGTATGTATTTCCCATAGGGTCCTATGTTAAACTAAGTCCCTCACTGGTGGCCATTTTGGATGATGGAACAGCTACAAAGTAACAACACTTGGTCAGCACCTTGTAAGGAACATTCATGCTATGTTTTGTTACATTCCATTCAGTGGTTCTCTAAAAGAAGTCATTTGTATGCATTTCCCATAGGGTCCTATGTTAAACTAAGTCCCCTGCTGGCGGCCATCTTGGATGATGGATCGGCTACAAAGTAACAACACTTGGTCAGCACCTCCTAATGAACATTCATGCTATGTTTTGTTTCATTCCATTCAGTGGTTCTCTAAAAGAAGTCATTTGTATGCATTTCCCATAGGGTCCTATGTTAAACTAAGTCCCTCACTGGCGGCCATTTTGGATGATGGAACAGCTACAAAGTAACAACACTTGGTCAGCACCTTGTAAGGAACATTCATGCTATGTTTTGTTTCATTCCATTCAGTGGTTCTCTAAAAGAAGTCATTTGTATGCATTTCCCATAGGGTCCTATGTTAAATTAAGTCCTCCGCTGGCGGCCATCTTGGATGATGGATCAGCTACAAAGTAACAACACTTGGTCAGCACCTCCTAATGAACATTCATGCTATGTTTTGTTTCATTCCATTCAGTGGTTCTCTAAAAGAAGTCATTTGTATGCATTTCCCATAGGGTCCTATGTTAAACTAAGTCCCTCACTGGTGGCCATTTTGGATGATGGAACAGCTACAAAGTAACAACACTTGGTCAGCACCTTGTAAGGAACATTCATGCTATGTTTTGTTACATTCCATTCAGTGGTTCTCTAAAAGAAGTCATTTGTATGCATTTCCCATAGGGTCCTATGTTAAACTAAGTCCCCCGCTGGCGGCCATCTTGGATGATGGATGGCTACAAAGTAACAACACTTGGTCAGCACCTCATAAGGAACATTCATGCCATGTTTGGTTTCATTCCATTCAGTGGTTCTCTAGAAGAAGTTCAAAATGTAAAAAGTTAACGCCGACGACGGACGACGCCGGAAGACGATGGACGACGGACGACAGACGCCAAGTGATGAGAAAAGCTCACTTGGCCCTTCGGGCCAGGTGAGCTAAAAATGATAGAATAATTCAAGTTTTTGAAAGATGAAATATATCAAAGCGACTGAACAACACATAATTCATGAATGCATGTAACTGATGTTGTTTTTTTGGTCACAAGTTGAATATTTTCAATAACTGAAATCATGGAATAGTTATTCTTTTTCGTGAATGCCAGAGAAGTGAAATTAGAATATTTATTTCACAAATGCAATATATAATCATGTTAATTCATCACAACCAATGTTAAATTATGCTTTATTTAAGGTGTACCAAAGAAAGTCCTTTTATATTTTGTCTGTAAATCCTTATTTCCACCCCTAGCCTATCAACACTGCGATTGTGAGTTCGAACCCTGCACATAGCAGGTGTGTTTGATTCCAATCATATATAGGATTACCAGTTTTCCTACAGAAGGTCGTGGTTCCCTTCAGCATTTTTGCTTCCTCAACGAATAAAAGTTTGTTATAGTTATGTACATATTCCTTCATTAAGTTATCAATTTATGTAAAAACATTATTTTAAACTTACCATATTTGTACAAGCAGTAGCTAACATCATTAGTTTAGGATTAAACTGAACACATTGAACTGGTCCTGGATGATCACAGTTAAACACAGCTACTCTCACACCTGTGTCTGTATTCCAACAGTTAATTTTACCATCTGTTGAACCTGAGCAAACACAAATTATAATTCTAATATAAATACTAAAATATTGTTATGGGACGGTAAGGGTGTGTCCCTGCTGAAAAGTATTTATTGTAGCTCAACACTATGTGTTTTGTTATTGGTAATATGTTAAGGTCTGTTGACCCAGGTAATGTTTCAAAATAACTAATACCAGTAGCGAAGCTTAGCTGGCTGAATGTTCAAGCAATGGTAGCGTAGAAGACAAGGCACCCAAATTTCAATATGTTAGATGGGAAACTCATTTGCACTGACAAATTAGTATAACAGATAGAAAGATTAATTTACAATTTATCATACAAAACCTTCATAATTATTTCAAGTTTTTATCAAAGAGAACTCACCAGAGCACTTAAGTTATAACAAAATATATAGAGCAAGCCACATTATTTGGTGAGTAAGTTGTGTGTCAACATCCTAGTAAATGCTAAATATCTACCTAAAATTCAATCATGGTTTGGTCCATTAAGTCAAAGGGGATGCATACAATTTCAAAGGTATATGTATTCTACAGGTTGCATCAACTGCAGCATATTTGGTTTGCTCTGGTCATTTCTTTGGTATCAGATGTAGACGCAGGCTAAAGTCTCCTCCAAATGAATTCTGAATGCATTCAAATTTGTACAACTGGCCCCCAAAGTCTTTGTGTTTAAATGGTGAATGTAAGACATGTACGTAATGTTGATCTCAGGTCACTGAAATCAGTATACTCTGCTGATGCAAATGGCCACAAGTATGAATGTTGACATTCTGTCAAGTTGGAAAATGGACTTACAGAACTTAACTGAGCTTACCCTAATCATAGTCATAGACCTAACAAACAATGGAATGTTCATCAAATATCTTTGAATATATGATGGAAAATCTAAGCCTACTTAGCAACCACAAAAAAATCAAAACATAATCTTCCCATTGCTGCCTCATCTGCTAACACAGTAAAATAAATAACAATAATCGTCTCTGGTATTGAGATATTTTGGATGTTATGGGTATTTTAAAATACATCTCTGGTATAAAGATGTGGTGTGATACATAGTATAAATAATGTATTTCTGGTTTCAAGATAACGTCTGACACATGGTGTAAATAATGTGTTTCTGGTATCAAGATACAATGTATGGTTTGACACATGGTATATATATATAATGTATCTCTGGTATCAAGATATGGTCTGACACATGGTATATATAATGTATCTCTGGTATCAAGATATGGTCTGACACATGATATAAATAATGTATCTCTTGTATCAAGATATGGTCTGACACATGGTATATATAATGTGTCTCTGGTATCAAGATTTGGTCCGACACATGGTATAAATAATGAATCTCTGGTATCAAGATTTGGTCCGACACATGGTATAAATAATGTATCTCTGGTATCAAGATATGGTCTGACACATGATATAAATAATGTATCTCTGGTATCAAGATATGGTCTGACACTTGGTATAAATAATGTATCTCTGGTATCAAGATATGGTCTGACACATGGTATATATAATGTGTCTCTAATATCAAGATATGGTCTAATACATGGTATAAATAATGTATATCTGGTATCAAGATTTGGTCCGACACATGGTATAAATAATGTATCTCTGGTATCAAGATTTGGTCCCACACATGGTATAAATAATGTATCTCTGGTATCAAGATATGGTCTGACACATGATATAAATAATGTATCTCTGGTATCAAGATATAGTCTGACACTTGGTATAAATAATGTATCTCTGGTTTCAAGATATGGTCTGACACATGGTATAAATAATGTATCTCCGGTATCAAGATATGGTCTGACACATGGTATATATAATGTATCTCTGGTATCAAGATATGGTCTGACACATGGTATAAGTAATGTATCTCTGGTATTAAGATATGGTCTGACACATGGTATAAATAATGTATCTCCGGTATCAAGATGAGGTCTAATACATGGTATAAATAATGTATCTCTGGTATCAAAATATGGTCTAATACATGGTACATGTAAATGATATATCTCTGGTATCAAGATATGGTCTGCCACATGGTATATATAATGTGTCTCTAATATCAAGATATGGTCTAATACATGATATAAATAATGTATCTCTGGTATCAAGATATGGTCTGACACATGGTATAAATAATGTATCTCTGGTATCAAGATATGGTCTGACACATGGTATAAGTAATGTATCTCTGGTATCAAGATATGGTCTGACACATGGTATATATAATGTATCTCTGGTTTCAAGATATTGTCTGACACATGGTATAAGTAATGTATCTCTGGTATCAAGATATGGTCTGACACATGGTATATATAATGTATCTCTGGTATCAAGATATGGTCTGATACATGGTTTAAATATAAATGTATCTCTTGTATGAAGATACTTAAACGAGAGTGCACACAGTGAAATGTCTCGTCTGGTTTACTTATCATGATTGAATTTACGTTGACAGTGTGTAATATGAAGGATTTACTATAACTTTCAAATTAAATTAACATAATGATCAATGTAAAATTTCAAATTAAATTAACATAATGATCAATGTAAAATAGGTCAAATTCAGATAAACACAGACAGACATGTACACCTTACAATCATACCATACACCAAATACAGTTAACCTATTGCTTATGGTATACGGAAAACAGACCTAATTAAAAAAATTTAACACTGACCAATGAACCATGAAAAAAAGGTCAAGGTCAAATGAACCATGCCAGACAGACAGGTACACAATGCAATGATTCCATACACCAAATAAAGTTGACCTATTGCTTACTGTATTTAAACAAGAGTGCACACGCTGAAATGTCTCGCCTGTTTTACTGACCATTGATTTTATGTTGAAAGTCTTAAAGATAAAGGTTTTACTACAAGTATCACATAAACTTAACATTCTTAAAGATCCAGGACAATGAGGTTAAGGTCAGATAAAAACTGTTACACCTTGTACACCTTACAATTATTTCATACACCAAATATAGTTGACCCATTGCTTATGGTAATCGAAAAACTGACCAAAACACAAAAACTTAATGTTAATCAATAAACCATGGAAATGAGGTCAAGGTCAGATGATAATGGCTAGACAGACATGTTCATCTTACAATCATTCTATTAACCAAATTTAGTTGACCTATTGCTTATAGTACTTGAAAACAGACCAAAACACAATAAACAGCTGCGCCATGAGCGCATGATACGCCCGTCGTCTTGTGTAAGAATTTTTATGCAATAATCATAAATAGTTTCTGACATACGGCCTGACATGCGAAAAGCCCCTTTTCTTTTATAAAAAACTCAATATCTCTAAAATAAAATTTTGAATCAAAACCAAAAAGTATACAGATCTTAAGATTAATATAACTAAGAAGTTTGTAAAGTTTTAAGCAATAATCATAAACTGTTTTTGAGATATGGCGAGACATGTGAAAAACCCCTCCCCCTTTTTTAACAAAATACTCAATATGTCTAAAATAAAATTTTGAATCATCACCAAAAAGTATACAGATCTTAAGATTAATATAACTAAGAAGTGTGTAAAGTTTTAAGCAATAATCATAAATTATTTTTGAGATACGACGCGACATGTGAAAAAAAACACACCCCTGTTTTAGTTACAAATTCCCGTAACTGAAAAAGTTGTAATCTTAGTTTCACCAAAAAGTATACAGATTGTTTGACCATCATAAGAAACAACTATTTAAAGTTTCATGAAATTTGGATAAGTCGTTCTGATGTTACGGTGCGACATGTTTACGCCAGACAGACAGACGGACGAACGGACGGACACCAGACATTTGTATACCATAATACGTCCCGTCAAAAATTGACAGGCGTATAAAAATTTAACATTGACCAATGAACCATGAAAATGAGGTCAGGTAGTACTTAAAAAACAGACCAAAACACAAAACTTAACATTGACCAATGAACCATTAAAATGAGGTCAAGGTCAGATGACACCAACTAGACAGACATGTACACCTTACAATCATTCCATACACCAAATAAAGTTGACCTATTGCTTACAGTACTTGAAAATTAGACCAAAACACAAAAAATTTACCAATGACCAATGAACCATTAAAATGAGGTCAAGGTCAGATGACACAAGCTAGACAGCATGTACACCTAACAATCATTCCATACACCAAATAAAGTTGACCTAGTGCTTACAGTATCTAAACAAGAGTGCACACGCTGAAATGTCTCGCCTCTTTACTGACCATTGATTTTATGTTAAAAGTCTTAAAGATAAAGTTTTTACTACAACTATCACATAAACTTAACATTCTTAAAGATCCAGGACAATGAGGTCAAGGTCAGATAAAAACTGTCACACAGACATGTTCACCTTACAATTATTCCATACACCAAATATAGTCGACCCATTGCTTATGGTAATCGAAAAACTGACCAAAACACAAAAACTTAATGTTAACCAATAAACCATGGAAATGAGGTCAAGGTCAGATGATACTGGCTAGACAGACATGTTCACCTTACAATCATTCCATACACCAATTATAGTTGACCTATTGCTATTAGTATTTGAAAAACAGACCAAAACACAAACACTTCACATTGACCAATGAACAATGAAAATGAGGTCAAAGTCAGATGACACTGGATAGACAGACATGTACACCTTAAGATCATTCTATAAACTTGAAAAACAGACCAAAACACAAAAATTTAACATTGACCAATGAACCATAAAAATGAGGTCAAGGTCAGATGACACCAGCTAGACAGACATGTATACCTTACAATCATTCCATACACCAAATATAGTTGACCTATTGCTTACAGTACTTGAAAAACAGACCAAAACACAAAAACTTAACATTGACCAATGAACCATTAAAATGAGGTCAAGGTTAGATGACACCAGCTAAACAGACATGTACACCTTACAATCATTCCATACACCAAATAAAGTTGACCTATTGCTTACAGTACTTGAAAATTAGACCAAAACACAAAAAATTAACAATGACCAATGAACCATTAATATGAGGTCATGGTCAGATGAAACCTGCCAGTCTGACATGTACCCCTTACAATCATTCCATACACCACATATAGTTGACCTGCTGCTTGTAGTATCTTTCAAACAGACTTAATCACGTAACTTTAACCTTGATCACTGATCCATGAATTGAGGTCGAGGTCAGGTTAACCCTGTCTGACGGACATGTAGACGTTGCAAGGAACCCATATACCAAATATAGTTATCCTATTACTCATAATAAGTGAGAAATTCACATGACAAAAAACTAATTTTTTTTCAAGCAGTCACTGAACCATGAAAATGGGGTCAACATGGTCAAGGGACAATGGGCATATGACAGACAGAAACTTCGTAACATAAGGTATCTGCATACAAGGTATGAAGCATCCAGGTCTTCTACCTTCTGATATATAAAGCTTTATACAAATAGTTTACGCTGCCGGATAGTAATACCTATGTCTTGCATACTGCGCCTTTCGTCTCAGGCAAGACAAAAACAATCATAAACATGAAAACTTTACATTAAATAATGAACCGTGAAAATGAGCCTAGATCAAGGTTAGATGAGTCCTGCCAGACAGACCTGTACACCTTATAATCATTCCATACACCAAATATAGTTGACCTATTGCTAACAGTTTTTGATAAACAGACAAAACCATGAAAACTCAACATTGTTCAATGAACCATGAAAATGAGGTCAAGGTCAGATGAATCCTGCCAGATGGACATACACACGTTATAATCATTCTATACACCATATATAGTTGACCTATTGCTTTTAGTATCTGACAAAAAGACCAAATCAGAAAAATTTACATTGACCAATGAACCATGAAAATGAGGTCCAGGTCAGATGAAACCTGCCAGTCAGACATGAAGACGTAACAATCATTCCATACACCAAATATAGTTGACCTATTGCATTTATATACTGTGGATTCATTATTATTCGTGGGATATCAACTTTCGTTGATTTCGTGGTTACAGGTTAACCACGAATTTAAATGTCAAACGAAGTACAAATTTTCTATAGGTTTGTATGCAGACTTTGGTAAAACCACGAATTCAAATATCCACGGAAATACAATTTCTCCTCAATCCACGAAAATTGGTACCCACGAAAATAAATGAATCCTCAGTAGTAACTGAGATAAGAGTTTGACCACTTAAACCTCACCTTGATCACTGATCCATGAAATGAGGTCGAGGTCAGGTGAACCCTATCTGACGGACATATAGGCGTTGCAAGGAACCCATATACCAAATATACATGTAGTTATCCTATTACTAATTGAGAAATAAACATGTTTTTTAAGCAGTCGCTGAACCCTGAAAACCAGGTTAAGGACAATAGACATATGACGGATGGAAACTAGTTACATAAGGCATCTGCATACAAGGCATGAAAAAATAGGTCTTCTACCTTCTGAAACATACAGTTTTAAACAAATACTTTAGGCTATCCCTGCCACCAAATTTTGTTGCAGCACGACAAAAACTGAATTGAAGTTAAGTCCAAGCCATTAATTGGAGTAAGGTTACACAGGACAATTTTCAGAGTAAAATTCAGAAAAATAGCTGATCATTTGTAACAGTTACTAATTATGTAGGTCCAATGTTGAGAAACAGAAACAGTCAATTTTTATTTCAACATTGATTTATGTCTATCAAATACAAAAAAGACTTGATAAAACAATACATGATCAATGCAATTGTTTAAAAGTTATCTCCATGGAAATACTTACCAACAAATGCAAACTGTGAATCTGGACTAAAAGATGCTTCCAAACTAATACCTTTAGTGTTCTGAAAGCCCTGTGAAAAAATAAGTGTATTTCAATAATATATCAAAACAACCATCCAATATGGGAAATGAGAACTAGAGGCTCTCAAGAGCCTGTGTCGCTCACCTGTATTTACTGATGCTTTGGAAATCATGTAAAATAAGGTTAAAATCATAATTAAAGGGAAACTTCGCAAAAAAATAAAAAATTGATATATATTATGTCCATTCTGTATAAAAAAGCACAAATTCATAAATATTAAAGTTTTATTCTGCTAGATAAGAGATCACCATCGATTTTAAATTTAGAGTATCAATTCTCTGCGTGCGGCCATTTTGACATCTTCTTGGTTTAGAAACCCCGATATATCTATAAACCACAAAGGACCAAAACCAGCAGTAACCTAACGTAGTCGCATTTATCCGACTAACTAACTTGATACGAAAAATGTAATTATTTTTTTAAATAACTATGGTCTGTCGTTTTAAAACTGTTTTTTTCTTTACAAAGTTTTTGAAACAAGAAATTTATATGGGAATTAGTTAAAAAGTCAAAGTTCAAAGTCATAAATAAGTGTTCCGTGTAAATCGTTTTCGAAAATCTAATTTGTTCATAATTCTTTTATGTAATAAACTTATTTAAATAAATTCGGACCTTCTCTTATCTGATCACCAGCATGGCTAAAGGAATTATTCCCTGAGGTATTGTGAGGTGACACGTCCAGGTATTCAAGCGATTTCCTGTCGGGTTTAAAAACTCTTATTACACAATTACATAAAGCATGTTCATGCATCGCTTCACTTCTGAGGGTATTGATTAGTGTACACGGCCGATAACTTGTAACTTTCCACTTTAAAACTATCAGGTGTAATATACATCTTTGTCTTGCGTGTCCAATAGTGATATACTAATCATTACTAAACTCATACGCTTGTTTATAAATAACATTTCTAGTGTAAAGAATGATATTTATGAAAATCTAAATAATTCCAAAAAAAGATTTGATAAAATAAAAATCTATTTACATATTTTTCCAAGGGTAAATTGGGGAAAATGTAAGTATATACTCGTTGTCAATAATGATGGACATTTTGAAACATGAAAAACTATTGATTTAAAAAATACGCACTTGTCGATCATTGGTTTATACGCCTAGATAGAAAGTTACGGAACTATAGATAGTCGCAATTTAAAATTGTATATTGAATATAAGAAAGAACATCTAGAACCAATTTGATTTAAATACAGGTCGATATCTAACTTGCTTTGGTTCATCGAAGTTATGGACATAGTAAAATCACAGATTTATATTTCAATATGGATTGTTCTCGAACAGTTGAAGAAATTCGTCATCATCACAATTGTTGGGTATAATGTATATTAATGTGAACATGGTTCTAATAGAACCTTATGCCAATTTTCCTGTTCCGACATGCATGTAATATATATGCCACTGGACGTACACTAATGATCCCCAAAAGTTTATTTGAAGAAATAAAGAAACTTCACTCCGGATAGACTGATAGTAGTTGTATTAACATCTGATCAGCTTGAGGGTTGATTAATTTATTACGTTAGCTTGTGGGGGAATAAACCATTCCCACTATTGCACTTATGCATAAAATATTAAATAAGAGTAATATAAGAGAAAATATAAATACGAAAAGTCACATATCTGGTAAAAAAAAAAGTCTCACCAACTATAGGATTTCACGTACAATTGTCATTATGATCGAAATAACGGACAGTCATTAAAATACATGCATGTACGCTTTGATAAAAAGGGGTGCCGCAGTTGCATATTATTCATCATAAATCTATTTCAAGTTTATACTTTCCTGTTATTCTTATCAGTTAACACAGAGACATGTAACTATACATCTCTAGTTAACGACAATCAACTATATAAATATCTGAATCTGATGTGACTTACCGTTCATCTCTAGTGGTTCATCTCTTTCTTTTTTTTTCTTCTTTTTTTTTTTTATTTGGGCAGGAACATAAACATTGTTAGATATAATGTTCCCAGGTTTGAGGGGGGGGGGGTTGGAGGTCAAGTCTATCGAAAGTTACAAAATAAGAACGTTGTATTTATGAATTTACAAGAAGAATTCTGTTCTTGGACGTTGTTTTCTCCTTTCTTTTTTTTTAGTTCAGTGATTTAAATTGAGAAAAAATCTAGTCAGAATTTAAATCGTTCGGACAATCCCCCACCTAATACTCCTCTAAAATCATGAATGGTCATGCTTCACAATCATCAGAATTTACTTTGCATTGGTACATTCTGTATCGGTAGTGATTAACCTTGACATTTCCGGGTATAACAGAGCTACTTGTATATTACCTGTATGTGGTTAGGTACATCGTCCGATGAGGTCTTACGTATACAGGTTCACATTTATAATGGTTTCTGATATAACAAGGTTTTATGACATTCACACTTCTGCATGTTCTGTATACCAGTTTCTTATCTTATTTTCAGACCGAATGAGGATGTGAATATTTTCCAGGAAAAATATTGAGTATCAAAGTATCAAATTAATTTCATATTTTTTCTTTCTTGGTATTAAATCACAGAAATTTAAAGATAATACTGCTTATAGATATAAGAAGATGTGGTATGAGTGCAAATGAGACAACTCTCCATCCAAGTCACAATTTATAAAAGTAAACCATTATAGGTCAAAGTACGGAATTCAACACGGAGCCTTGGCTCACACCGAACAGCAATTAAGCTATAAAGGGCCCCAACAAATTACTAGTGTAAAACCAGGAGTATTCTTGTCAGTTGAGACAGACATATAATCATATGTATATATATGTCTGCGGTATAGACATGGTTTATGAATGAATGATAAATCTTACAAAGGTACAAGATATAAAGCACATTGAACATTGAATACGCCGGTCTGTCTCCATTCAATAAAGGTAAGTTGACGTTAGATTGATTCTGTAAAAAAATTTTAAACATCGTTGGTCAAATAGCTAAAATATTTGTTGTGAGATGTAGAATATTTTAATAAGGACATTCCCGATTAGGTAAATGTAGATCGCTTTGGACGGACCAAACTATATTAATGTAACTGATAATTTTCTCTGCTCATTTAAATATTCAAGGTTACCGATGATAATTCAAAATAGCACAATTTTTGGTTTATACGCTCGTTTTCGTGGGCCATTTTTATTTATAAAATTATTTCATTGAAAGTTATTCAGAATTCCGATGTTACAACAAAGTACTCACCCATCTATTTAAAAACTGAGCTAACGCAAAATATAAAAAATATATATAACGGCGATTCAGGTATTTTGCCACCATATTCCTCCCCAAATAATAATTTTTTTCTGTCTCAAACCCACATTTCTCTTTTATCATTTTTGTCGAGCCTTCGACTTTAGTCGAAAAAGCGAGACATAGCGATCCTACATTCCGTCGGCGTCGTCGTTGTAGTCGGCGGCATCCACAAATATTCACTCTGTGGTTAAAGTTTTTGAAATTTTAATAACTTTCTTAAAATATCCTACTGATTTCTACCAAACTTGGACAGAAGCTTGTTTATGATCATAAGATAGTATCCAGAAGTAAATATCGTAAAAATAAAATTCCATTTTTTCCGTATTTTACTTATAAATGGACTTAGTTTTTCTGCCGGGAAATATTACATTCACTCTGTGGTTAAAGTTTTTAAAATTTTAATAACTTTCTTAAACTATCCTGGGTTTGTACCAAACTTGGGCAGAAGCTTGTTTATGATCATAAGATATTATTCAGAAGTAAATTTTGTAAAAAAATAAATCCATTTTTTCCTTATTTTACTTTTAAATGGACTTAGATTTTCTGCCAGGAAACAACACATTCACTCTGTGGTTAAAGTTTTTAAAATTTTAATAACTTTCTTATACCATGTATACTATTTTGGATTTGTACCAAACTTGGACAGAAGCTTGTTTATGATCAAAAGCTAGTATCTAGAAGGAAATTTTGTTAAAAAAATAAATCTATTTTTTCCGTATTTTACTTTTAAATGGACTTAGATTTTCTGCCAGGAAACAACACATTCACTCTGTGGTTAAAGTTTTTAAAATTTTAATAACTTTCTTATACTATTTTGGATTTGTATCAAACTTGGACAGAAGCTTGTTTATGATCAAATGCTAGTATCTAGAAGGAAATTTTGTTTTCTACCAGATAAAATTACATTCAGTCTGCAGTTAAAATTTTTAAACATTTATTAGATTCATAAACTATCCTGGATTTTTACCAAACTTGGACTGAAGCTTCTTACAATCAAAAGATAGTATCAAGTGGAATATTTTTATTGATTTACTTCCTCAATTTTTGTAGAGCCTGCGATTAACAGAAAAAGTAGGCGAGACACTGGGTTCCGCGGAACCCTTACGAATTTTTTTTTAATGTTTTTCAAACCGGAAAATAATTTTTGTTCTCAATTATTCGATCTCATTCCAATAAGACAAAGTTGACCTTAAATTTCCTGTCAACTTTTTAATTATCTTTCTTCAAATGGCTGAAGTATTTATACGTTGTGAGATTTAAAATATTTTGATAAGGACATTAATTCCTGAATATGTAAATAAAGATCGTTTTGGACGGACCAAATTATATAATTGCAATTGGTAATTATCTATTTCAAATATTCAAGGTTACCGATTCTAATTTAAAATAGTACAATTTTTAGTTCATACACTCGTGTTTAGAATGCCATTATTATTTATTCAATTAAATTAATTCAGTATTTCATTGTTACAAAAATATTCAGCAGTCATAATTCATTTTAAACTGAGCTTACGGAAAATATAAAAATATACCACGGCTATCCAGTTATTGTGCCACCATATTACTCCCTCAAAATAATTATATTTCTTTTTTTATTTTCTGTCTCAAACTATCACTCCCGTTTATCATTCATACGAAATGATGTTCACACCTGGAACGGTGAACCGTGACGGCTAAAATTCACTGAGTGAAGATCAAAAGATTAGAATTACAGAATGCAAACCTTTAAATACCTTGAATTTAACCACGCATTCAACAGGTAGTCACTAAGTGTCACAGTACAATACACATTGTATTTACACGGTACTAGCGGAAAATGTTTGCTAGACTGAAGTAAAAGTTGAGAATACAAACATGCATTTTTAATACACTATCAGTTAAATATGTTTGTTGAAAATATCCGTCGGAAAAAAAATTCATAAAAATATTCTATTGTATGATTTACTTTTATTACTATAATGACTATAATCATATCAGAAATCCTTAAAATATAAATCCTACATTTTATTTTTAAAAGTTGCACGGCTGATCACTTTACTTTCTTAATTATTAGTTGGTTAATAGCTACGCCAAAAGTCGTCGATGCGCTTTAAATCGCGTTATTAGATGATTAACGAACAAGACTTAAATGAGATTAATTCCACTCCCGGCATGCAAAAAGACTAAAACTACGTCACAGAAGTCAGGAAGTTCGAATAAATAAAATTAATAATTCCCAATTTTCTTCTTTATTAGTTTTCATATCCAGATAAAACTTGGTGAATATGTTTTTTATGGTATTATGAACATAATAAGATGATAAGTAAAAAATCGCGAATTTTCCCTTTAATAGTATTAGATATTAGATATTATAATGATATGTAAGATAATAACAAAAAACTGCAAAATTTCTGTAAAATAAATAACTCAGGGGCAGCAACCCAACAACAGGTTGTCGGATTAGTCTGAAAATTTCAGGGCAGATAAATCCAAATCTGATGAACATTTTTGCCACCTGTCAGATTTGCTCTAAATGCTTTAGTTTCAGAGATATAAACAAAAAACTGCATTTTACCCCTATGTTCTATTTTTAACCATGTCGGCCATGATGGTTGGAAGGCGGGGTCATCGGACAAATTTTTTAAACTAGATACCCTAATAATGATTATGGCCAAGTATGGTTAAATTTGTCTCAGTAGTTTCAGAGAAGAAGATTTTTGTAAAAGATTACAAAAATTTACAAAAAAATGTTAAAAATTGACTATAAAGGGCAATAACTCCTAAAGGGGTCAACTGACCATTTTGGTCATGTTGACTTATTTGTAGATCTTTCTTTGCTGTACATTATTGCTGTTTACAGTTTATCTCTATCTATAATAATACTCAAGATAATAACCAAAAACAACAAAAGTTTCCTTAAAATTACCTATTCAGGGGCAGCAACCTAACAACAGGTTATCCGATTCATCTGAAAATTTCAGGGTAAAAAGATTTTGACCTGATTAACAATTTTACCCCAGTCAGATTTGCTGTAAATGCTTTGGTTTTAGAGTTATAAGCCAAAATCTACATTTTTACCCTATGTTCTATTTTTAGCCATGGTGGCCATCTTGGTTGGTTGGCGGGATGGCCGGACACATTTTTTTAACAAGATACCCTAATAATGATTGTGGCCAAGTTTGGTCAAATTTGGCCCAGTAGTTTCAGAGGATAAGATTTTTGTAAAAGTTTACGGACGACGGACGCAGGACACCAAGTGATGAGAAAAGCTCACTTGGCTTTTTGGGCCAGGCGAGCTAAAAAGAGAAAAGTTTATTCAAAATCATGCAGAAAATACCTGAGAGATCAAAGGTGAAGGTCAAATGAAGGTCATAATGATTTGCGACACTATCTTCACCTTCATGCCAAATATCATTAGCCAATGTCAATAATGCCAAAATATAAAAAAAAATTGGCCAATTCAAAGTTGAATGAGAACAAAAAGTAATTCTAATAAAATGCTCTGCTGGGGCGCAGCTTGATATGACCGCAGAGGTCGAACCCTGAACAGTTGGGGCAAGTATGGACACAACATTCAAGCTTGATACAGCACTGAATTTGGATTGTAATTAAATATTTGACACAGCATAGGTTTCTGACACAGAATGAATGTGGTCTAAGAACTTAAAAAAATTTTAATTTACCTATTCAAACCATATCATTATAATTTGCTTTTATATATAAATCAGAAATAACCAATTTAAAATGGAAAATTTTAAAGAAAATAAAGGAGAAAAAAATCCCCCCCCCCCCCCCCCAATTTTTTTAACCCCCTTATGATTCATCACCCCCAAACTCAATCCCAGCCTTCCCTTTGTGGTATGGTACCTTGCAGTACAATTTCAGAGAGATCCATACACTTGAACACAAGTTATTGTCTGGAAACTAGAAAAAGGCTTGTTTTTTTTACCCCTTTTTGGCCCCAAATTCCTAAACGTTAAGGGCAATTACCCCCAAACTCAAACCCAGCTTTCCCTTTGTGATATGGAACCTTGTAGTACAATTTCATAAAGATCCATACACTTACACACAAGTTATTGTCATGATACTACAAAAATGCTTGTTTTTTGCCCCTTTATGGCCCCTAATTCCTAAAATTTTGAGGCAATTACCCCCAATATCAATCCCAGCCTTCCCTTTGTGGTATGGTACCTTGCAGTACAAATTCAGAGAGATCCATACACTTCAACACAAGTTATTGTCTGGAAACTAGAAAAATGCTTATTTTTGGCCCCTTTTTCCTAAACGTTTTGGGCAATTACCCCCAAACTCAATTCCAGCTTTCCCTTTGTGATATCAACCTTGTGGTACAATGTCAGAGAGATTCATACACTTGCACACAAGTTATTGTCATGAAACTAGAAAACTGCTTGTTTTTTGCCCCTTTTTGGCCCCTAATTCCTAAAATTTGGAGGCAATTACCCCCAAAATCAATCCCAGCATTCCCTTTGTGATATGGAACCTTGTGGTACAATGTCAGAGAGATTCATACATTTACACACAAGTTATTGTCATGAAACTAGAAAACTGCTTGTTTTTTGCCCCTTTTTTGCCCCTAATTCCTAAAATTTGGAGGCAATTACCCCCAAAATCAATCCCAGCATTCCCTTTGTGATATGGAACCTTGTGGTACAATGTCAGAGAGATCCATACACTAACACACAAGTTATGTCTGGAAGTTACAAAAATGCTTATTTTTGGCCCCTAATTCCTTAACTGTTGGTACCATAACCCCCAAAATCAATCCCCACCTTCCTTTTGTGGTATTGAACCTTATGGTAAAATTTCATAGAGATCCATTCACTTAAACTAAAGTTAGAGTGCGAAAACCAATGTGTCTTCGGACGATGACAAGGTCGCCAACGTCATACCAATATACGACCACAAAATTTGTTTGCGGTCGTATAAAAAAAAGTAATGTCTCCATTCAATAAGGAGAGACATAATAAATTTTTCAAATATTTTTTCCTAAGAAAAGAGACTTGTATGATCAAGTAATTAAGTTTTATGATTTTGACAGATTTGAAGTGTAGCACTATCATCGGTGATATTTTACAGGATGATTTAAAAATATTTTATTTTACTCGCCATACTGTTTTATTCTGTGACGTGTTGGAAATTCCAGACAATTTTTACGTTGCACTTTTATATATGTATCATATAAAAGATCACTTTAACCCCGAATGTAACTACAAATGAACACCTTATCTACTTCTATGTAAGTGACGTCACATAATCTATATATCTCGGGAGACTTAACCTACCATTCTACCTACGTGTACATGAAATTACCATGAATGTCTGTAATGGTGTTCCCTGGAAGGCATCAATCAACCTGACAACCTGTCCATTGGTAGATATCAGTATCATTTTACCATCTGGACTAAACTTCATTCCAGTCCAGTCACAGTCTTTATCTTGAGCTAGTTTAAATGTGGCAAATGGTCCCTGTAATAAAAAACATTAGTGTTTATCTACAAATGAATTAACTAAATTTTGTATAATACTGTCAAGAAAGCCAATAAGTAAGATTGCCTTAGCCTTTTGGCACAGCTTTTGTGAAATTTTCTGTTTTAAATACTCTTCAACTTTGTATTTGAATTGGCCTTTCAACATGTCCAACTGTTTTGGTTTGAGTGCCACTGATCAGGGCTTCCAAAATTATTTTTAATCAGCCGGACATTTTATATATTATCCGATTTTAATCCCTTAAGACTAAATAAACAAAAGGCAATTATGGTAATCAGTTGCCGAGTTGGCCATCCCAATGATTGACATTAAAAAAAACGATATTAAACTTTCTTTGATTCAAATTCGAAGTTCTGACGTGAACTGTTAAATTGGCAGTGCATCATTCGAAGTGTGCAACATCAGCGTACTTATATCTGCCTTAGACTCTTTATTTGTGCAAAATAACCAGCTGATAACGTTGTCAAAAACTTTACTTTCGTTTTTATACCGGATGTTATCTTGACAATGGTAAAACATGGACCGGAGACGGATACGTAAATTCCGTGGACGTTTGCAAAGCGTGAATGAGTGGAAGTAGCTCTTTCTACGTTATTTCTTCAAGAAAATATTGGAAATAAACATGAGATAAAGGTATCAATGACAATTTAAGCATTTTTTGAAGAAATTAGGATATATAATTAAATTTCACACATGCGCACACGTGTACTAGTTCAAACAGAGACATGTCTCTAGGTTCAAACAACGTGGTTATGACGATTTTTCATTTTCACCTTTTTAATTTTTTCATCAAATCATATTTGTAAACGTATTTCTGATAATTTAAATCTTTTTGACTAAATTAATTCGATGCAAACCGCTGAAATGTAAGAAAATAACTTTGAATAGACCGATCAATGTCCGGTTCAAAATAGTTTACCTGTCACATGAACAGGTAAATTTCAGCTGTTTGACAACTAATTAGCCTTGATTAAAATGAGAAGGTATTAAAGTAGGGGTTGTTTTGATAGTACTTAATGATCATGTCACTTTTATGACCGGAAATGTGTGGCTGTTCAAGGCAAAACGTTGGGTCAAAAAGATCGCGAATTATGTTAAAATGACCGTCTCTTAAAGCCTTGAAAACTAAAAAGTAGATGACCGTTTCATGCTTTGCCCAGCCGGACTTTTACCGGACATTATACAAATGTCCGGCATATATGACCGTTTTGGAAACCTTGCCACTGATGTCTTATGTAGACAAAACTCGCTTCTGGCATAACATATTATAAGTCTGGTATCTTTTTTAACAACCACTGGGTCGATTCCACTAATGGTGGACCTTTTGAAACCGGTGGTATCACCAGCCCAGTATCAGCACTTTTGTGTTGACATGAAATATCATTGCTATGTTAATTTCCTGTATATGTACTGTTATCAAAATACTGAATTATTCAAAACGCTAATGTGTATCTACCCCCAGAAATAGATTGCCTATGCCATATTTAGAACAATTTTTGGGAATTTTCGGTTTGAAATGCTCTTCAACTTCGTAATTGATTTTGCTTTTCTACTGTTTTGAATCGACTACTACTGATGAGCCTGTAGACATAATGCGTGTCTAGCATACCAAATTATAAATCTTTGCTGAGTTTTAGTACACACTGTATTGCAAGAGAAAATAGTATGTTTTATAAACTAATCATAATGCCAGTGTAATATGTTATGATTGAGAAAGAAAATGCAATGTAATGTAAAATCCTGACTAGTAAATGAATACAAAAATCAACAATATGTAATAAAGAAGTTGAAAAAAGAAAATGTTTCACCCAGGCATTAGTTTTTCCCATGCTTTCATTTTCTGTTTTTCAGCAATGGTTCACAAAAAATATTTCCTTTTATGTTCACCAGAAATTATTTGGTCTTATGATTACATATCTTATTCACAATATAAATTATTATATAGTATATTAACATGGAAACAATCTCTGTATCATATAAAGTGGTTTCTAATAATGTAGCAAAGTTATTATTCATTTAGAAATACTTTTGAAAAGTTTTTATTCCAGTGTAAAATTAGATCAAGTTATTCTATAATTGAATATAAAATACTTTCAGTGCGTGTATTTATGCAATAACTATACAGATTAGCATGAAGACTAATACAATTTAAACATACTTCAACCAAAGGAAGGCACACACTTTTCCAGTAAACCAACAACAAAGTAATATATCAAAATAACTAGAGGCTCTAAAGAGCCTGTGTCGCTCACCTTGGTCTATGTGCATATTAAACGAAGGACACAGATGGATTCATGACAAAATTGTGTTTTGGTGATGGTGATGTGTTTGTAGATCTTACTTTACTGAACATTCTTGCTCCTTACTATTATCTCTATCTATAATGAACTTGGCCCGGTAGATACAGTGGAAAATACTTTGTAAAAATTTACAAAAATTTACACAATTTATGAAAATTGTAAAAAATTGACTATAAAGGGCAATAACTCCTTAAGGGGTCAATTGACAATTTTGGTCATGTTGCCTTATTTGTAGATCTAACTTTGCTGTACATTATTGCTGTTTACAGTTTATCTCTATCTATAATAATATTCAAGATAATAACCAAAAGCTGCAAAATTTTCTTAAAATTACCAATTCAGGGGCAGCAACCCAACAATGTGTTGCCTGATTGGTCTGAAAATTTCAGGGCAGATAGATCTTGACCTAATGAGAGATTTTACCCCCATGTCAGATTTGCTCTAAATGCTTTGGTTTCAGAGATATGAGCCAAAAACTGCATTTTACCCTATGTACTATTTTTTAGCCATGTCGGCCATCTTGGTTCGCGGGCGGGGTCATTGGACACATTTTTTAAACTAGATACCCTAATGATGATTGTGGACAAGTTTGGTTAAATTTGTCTTAGTAGTTTCAGAGGAGAATATTTTTGTAAAAAATTACAAAAATTTATGAAAAATGGTAAAAAATTGACTATAAAGGGCAATAACTCCTTAAGGGGTTAACTGACAATTTTGGTCAAGTTGACTTATTTGTAGATCTTACTTTGCTGAACATTATTGCTGTTTACAGTTTATCTCTATCTATAATAATATTCAAGATAATAACCAAAAACGGCAAAATTTCCTTAAAATTACCAGTTCAGGGGCAGCAACCCAACAACGGGTTGCCTGATTGGTAAGAAAATTTCAGGGCAGATAGATCTTGACCTAATGAACAATTTTATACTCATCAGATTTGCTCTAAATGCTTTGGTTTCAGAGATATGAGCCAAAAACTGCATTTTACCCTATGTACTATTTTTTAGCCATGTCGGCCATCTTGGTTCATGGGCGGGGTCATCGGACACATTTTTTAAACAAGATACCCTAATGATGATTGTGGACAAGTTTGGTTAAATTTGTCTTAGTAGTTTCAGAGGAGAAGATTTTTGTAAAAGATTACAAAAATTTACGAAAAATGGTTAAAAATTGACTATAAAGGGCAATAACTCCTTAAGGGGTCAACTGACCATTTTGGTCAAGTTGACTTATTTGTAGATCTTACTTTGCTGAACATTATTGCTGTTTACAGTTTATCTCTATCTATAATAATATTCAAGATGATAACCAAAAACGGCAAAATTTCCTTAAAATTACCAATTCAGGGGCAGCAACCCAACAACAGGTTGTCCGATTCATCTGAAAATTTCAGGGCAGATAGATCTTGACCTAATAAACAATTTTACACCATGTCAGATTTGCTCTAAATGCTTTGGTTTCAGAGATATAAGCCAAAATCTACATTTTACCCCTATGTTCTATTTTTAGCCATGGCGGCCATCTTGGTTGGTTGGCCGGGTCACCGGACACATTTTTTAAACTAGATACCCCAATGATGATTGTGGCCAAGTTTGGTCAAATTTGGCCCAGTAGTTTCAGAGGAGAAGATTTTTGTAAAAGTTTACGGACGACGGACGACGGACGCAGGACGACGGACGACGGACGCAAAGTGATGAGAAAAGCTCACTTGACCTTTCAGGTCAGGTGAGCTAAAAATGATTTTTTGTAGATTTTCATTTTTAAAGATTAATTTTAGAGAGATAAAAAATGATTTTCGTGAACCTTTTTCAGGTGTTTTACATTTAAAAGAAACATATTCCTTATTACAGAACCTACAAGGTGATTCTGTTAAAAACTAATCTTTCTAGTATAATATGAATCACAGTGACCCAGGGTGATTGCTGTGGATTTAGACAGATAACACTATGATTCAGACCCAGTATATTATACCTATGGAATATACAGTGGGATTCAGAATCAACTAACACCAATTTCTGTGAAAATTTAGAGCTGTTCCATTAAAACACATATGGTACCCAGGGGTAACCATCCATAGAAGCAAATTGCATACATTTTTAAAGTGTATAACATAATATTTCTTATCCACTTAAAGTGGCAAATTCAAGTTGCCATGCCTACTCCCCTGTAAGTTTTTATTGAGCATCCCTAACAAGATCACCTTGAGTGTATTGTAATTTTTGAATTCTCTTGTATAAATTTTTTTTGAAAATACTAAACGTACACAATGTGTTTTTTTTGGTCTCTTTTCAAAGTAATTAGTCAAATATTATGGCTTACCCTATCAAATGACCTGAGATCATATAATTTAACACATTCTGAGTTGATACCAGCAGCAAAAATAAGTCCTTCTGGATCAAAAGCTGCAACAGGTCGACCAGACAAATGCATTAATCCCTGAAATATAAATATATCCAATATAAGTTTAATTTCATTGATCAGATATGATATCCTGTCTAAAAGCCAAGCTCAAGAAATCTGAAATTTCTTGTGCATCTCCATGATTGACGTCAGTATTTGATGCTTGAGAATATATTATCATAGATACTATATTTCAATTCTTTCTTTAAATAGGATTGCCATCAGCCAATGTTACAAGTAGGTTCTTCAAAAAAATCATAAAATAATTTTCAATAAAATCTCTATTTCTTCCAAAATAATTTATTCAAAGCTGTTGGACCTGAATATTCATTACTAATTTTTATAGTTGCAGACTTTCAATAATGTACAAGCATGCATGCTCTATTCAAACAGTACAGTTCAAAGAAACTTACCTGACAGTTCTGTGAACGTAAATCCCATAATCTTAGTGTTTTATCTAGAGATCCAGAGAGGAAAGAATCATTTATTGGTGACATGCTCAATGCTACAACCCTAAAAGACATAAAACAAACATTATCAACAGAGACAAATTATATCTGTGTGATCCTGACTGCCTTTCATAACACATACTCTAGTTCAACAAACCTGACATAAGTGGTTCAATTACCTAAATTTATTTCACAATAAAGCCAATTGTCACTTTTGTGTCATATTTCAACAAAACAAAAAAATATGCATTGTAATTCATAAAAATTATTCTAAAAATATCAAAATTCTTTTGAAAACACAAAAAATACTTATCAAATAGAGAATGAATTTTATTTATGCATCATGTTCAGAATTAATTAAAACTGATAATTTTGCTCTCATGGCTGGCACGGTATCATCTGAATTTACATAATAATAAAAATAATCATATGCAGATATGTTATTGATTGCTTTAATTTTTAATTTTTATGGTCATGTGTAATGCATAAATATTTCATTACTGTCTGAGATCAACTTTTGTGATAAGAATTAGATCTACAATTGACTTAAGTCAAAAGATAAAAAAAACATCTATATTCCTCAACAAAAATAAAATGAAATTCACAGTTGTCTCCATCATGTCCATTGACAGAATGCTTGCAATTGAAACTGGCAAAACAATTCGTCATGAATTTTGTATTCAATTAAGATCAAATATTTTCGCCACAGACATGAAAGGTTGATTTTTCATTTGATATTAATTTTTTTTAATAAATTTATTTAATGTTTTTACATATGGATAAAACTCAGGTGTGATAAACTACTTACTTTTTGGTGTGGCCTGGAAAGTATCTTATGTATTTATTGTCATGAAGAGACAGATATCGAATGGTATCTACAATAAATAATGAAGGAAACATAAAGTCTGGTACTTATATCATGTAAAAAAGCAGGTACATATATTTAGAAAAGAAAGGCAACTGCAATATAAAGTCATGCATCACAAATTGATAAGAAATCTTGAGAAAAAAAAGATGTTTCATTCTTATTGAAATATTTAGTAGGTACTAGTATGTCCAGATGGCTTATATTCAAAATTACTCATAATTTCAAAATCATTTCTAAAATGTTTCAATTTTCCCATGAATGACACATTTGTAATTGTCCTGTAGTCCTGAATGTTTACACCATTCTCATGAAACAATATGTGTCCATAGCACACCAAGCTCCACTCACACTATCCTATGTCCATAGGCATAGTCCATGTTCAGTGAACAATAAAATTGGGGTCAAAATCATAATTTGGCACTTTCTTTCAAAAATTCACCTTACAATGAACATGTGTATTATAGTCAAGTTGATGTGACCATACATTGTAGACTACTGATACCAAAAACTTATACCAGAGAAAGTACTAATTTCAAACTATCACATTTCTTTATCAGTGAACCATTAAATTGAGATAAAAACTGTAAATTGGTACATGTATATACATGTAATCTAAAAAGTTTACATCATGATGAACATGTGCTACGTACTGTACAAAGTTTCAAGTTGACCACAACTTCATTGTTAACTACCTTAACCAAAAACTTTAATCTGATACAGGACGGACTAATGGTTCAGATGAACAGACCAGAAAAAAATAATACCCTTCACTTCTATCGTATGCAGGGCATCATTACTGCTTTTTTATATTATAAAGTCAAAAATCTCAACTGCAACTGGTCAAAGTCATTTATTAACTAAACTATAACCTTTCTTAAAATGTCCATTGTACTTCTCAAATTTTGAGCTATGTATTACATGCATTTATATGTTCATATGTATTTTGGCTATACATTCACAATTTGTACCTTGCCACCCCATGATTAAAATTTATCTTAATGTTTTCATGTCTCCAATGTGGAGTTTTATACTGGTCAACAATCATGACAATACCTCAAATATATAATAAAATATTTACCATCAACTTTGGTTGAACTGTGTAATGCTGTATTGACTGCATGTGTATAACAAATCAAATCCACACCATACTTCTTACTGTTTAAAGTTTTCTTAGGCCTGTAAAAAAATTAATTTCCCATGATAGTTTTATATATATATATATATGTAGGACTCTGAACTGCGATGGTAATCCTAACCACGATGGTCACGTTGATGTGTGATGGTTTGACGCTGAAGTGCGTTTTTGATCACCGAAGTGGGATGGTGGCATTGTGACAACGCTGAAATGGGGAGCGATTGGTGGAGATGGAACCTTCTGTAGTGTTTTTTTTTTTAGAATCTACAAAAGGTTCTTTTTTACATACGATTGAGCTAGGCCTTCTCTCAATAAAAACAGGTCCCCAGACAGACTCTTTGTGCATGAGAGATATCAAGTAAAGACATAATATTAACACAGAATTATGTTCACATGCAGAAAATCAAAGAGGATGATCTCACATTCAGTTTGCAACTGTAATTAAGGACATATATAGACAATAACGAATTCAAATTTATCTACCAACTATTAAAAAAATCTACTCCTCATAGGCCTAATACATTTTGTAATAATTAAACATCTGTAGATTTTAAACTAGCCATCATGCGTTATAAAGACCATTGCATATCAGCACACTGACCATCACACTACAGTGTGGCCATCGCACTTCAGTGTCCCCATTGCCCCTCTGAGTCTTACATATGGACAGTGAAATTCATTATTTACTGGTAAACTGGGTTATTTATTTATTTTTTAATTTCTACAAAAACATGCATATTAAGTGCATTTGTTCAGGTCACTAGCAACACATTTTGGTAAGTGACTTTTCCAGAAACTGATTAAGTTTGATCTCTCTGACATGTCTGAAAACCTCCATCAGACAAGGGATCGACCTCATTAACAATCTGGTATCCAGAAAACTTGTCTACCAAAAAATGTTGCTTTTTAAGTAATCATTTGAGCACATATAACATCATTTTATAGCAAAAGTTTAAAATTTATCTAAATTTGATTTCATTTTCTTGCATTTTTTTTGGTTATGGAGACTGAAATAATACATTATATATGTAACACTCCCAAACGTGTCCATCCCCCCAAACGTGTCTATTCTCCCCAAACGTGTCCGTAATATTCAATATGGCCCAAATGTGTCCGATTTCAAAACCCCCAAACGTGTCCGATAATTGTTTTTCGCCAAAACGTGTCCACCGTTAAACGTCAGAACGTTTTACGTCTTTTAGCGCCAATACATGTATGTCCTTAATAAAATCAATAACGTTTACGGCAATTCTATGATGGGGGAAACAGTTGATGAGGTAGTAATTTATTAGCATTAGCTTGTTCAATGTCGGTTGTTAATGATGATCATAATTGCAAATTTAATATGTAACATATGAATTAACTTTTGACTGAATTTGCTTATTGTCCAGTTGCAAGTATATCATGCTCATTTAGAGCGATCATACAAATAATTCTAGTGCAGTTGAATTAATCGTTTACTATGTAAATTATGTGTTACTAATAAACTCTGATGATGCTTTTTATATTAATCTGACGGCGGGCTTTCAGCAGAATTGACTTCCCTTTTTTTCAACAGTTCTGATATTTTAAAAGCTCTTCAAATCAAAAACTGGTTTTCTGGGTTTCTAATAAATTTAAGGTTTCGAGCATCACTAAAGACACACAAACAAGAGAAATAACGTCCAGTGCCAAATATTTCATGCATTATTTAAACGAAATCATGTTAACAATAAATACTGTATATAGGTTCTATTATCATACCCGGAATTTAGGATTGGGCCTAAGTTTTGACGGTTATTCGGGATTAACACTAGTTGGGATTATAATCTAAAAAAAAATAAGAGCGTGTGAAGACTGATTTTTTTATGACTTCAGTAAGAAACTGCTGCAATCTCCGTTATGTAATAGAGGCCATTTTGAATAAAAGTTGCGGAAATTTTAAAAAAATGTTGCCTTCCAAAATACAACAGATGGCACCACGAAAGAGTGAATTGCTACAAAAGTATTAATGCGCAGAGAATGGGACATTCTCCCTACACGAGGTATCTGATTTATGATCTACAATTTAACTGAGCATGACTGCGTACATTTACATCCAATATAGCCGAACGGACGCCCCCACTTTTAACCAGGTTATACTGCCGGTTTATAAAAGACCTAGAAGTAATTTATTTCTATTTTTTAATGAAATAGTAAAATGAGTATACGTTATTGAAAAAAACAATGACCAAATAACCGACGTATTTATAATATGGACACGAATGATAGTTCCAGTAAAAGAAAAAAAATTAAGCTTGATATGGACACGTTTGGGGGATTGGGCACGTTTGGGCGTTTATACAAATGACACGCTTTGGTGCCCTTTTACATTTAGACATGTTAAGCAGTTCAGTGATGTCATGTGGACACGTTTGGGGGAATCGGACACGTTTGGGGGGAAGGACACGTTTATGAGTGTTACATATATAGCACTAAAATTTAATTTTATCATTGTTGGACTTGCCATGGCCAAACATGATGAGTCTCTCACGTTTTGAATTTTCCTTTGAATTTCGGTATTTTTGTTATGTTACTTTTTTTGTGTATATGAAAAAACTTACTTCAATTCATAAGAGCGCTTTCCATCTGGGACTAATACATTTATCTATAAGTCCCAGTTTCAATGCAATTTTTATTCAGTTTCTATTTCCAAGGGTCATAATTCTTTGAAAAACAGTTGATCAGCATTGATTTTCATAACAATCTGGCAAGAAATGTACATGTGAGACACTTTACAAGAAGGGAAGGAGGGATAATGGCCCAGTATTTCTATGTCACAGCAACACGTCACGCGTAGGACAATAAAAAACAATAGGGATAATGTTTGATGGGACTATTGCTGGATAACTCGGACTAAAACAAACTCAGTCTATAGCAAACTTGGACTATAACAAACTCGGAATATAACAAACTCAGCCTACTATTATCTCTATAAAAAAATAAAGTGAACAAATTAAACTGGGCCTTGTTATGGGCCAAGTTATTTAACAACTTTATATACGAATTTATGAGATAAATATTTTTGACAAAAAAAATATAAAAAATGTATTAAAATAAACTGAGATCCATAATATATTGTTAAATATGTGTTTATATTGTATAAAGTTTAATAATGAAATATAAGTTTGAACATAATACTTTAAATTAAAGATAATGACCTAATATTTGATATTTTGTTGTGAATTTCTCGTTTTTACTTTTATATCGATGGTATGGGATTTTTTTTGAAAAATGGTTAATGAATGCATACATTAATTTCCAAATTTACACAGAGGTATCTGTTAATATAAATGAGATATTGAATTGACCATTTTTTCCCCCTATGTTTTGTATAAATATACTCTATACTTCAGCAAAATGGAATTCGCACCAACATCCAAGCAATCCAAGCCCTTACTATGAATTCACTTATTTGGTTATTTATAATTTCATGCAATTACAGGTAGTTATGCTCACTTAGTTTTATGGGTGATTGAAAAGGTGTTAACTGTACACGTGGCAGTATGATATCATACATTGTAGGTCCAGTTCATTCAAATAAGTCATGCATATGATAAATAAGGAAATAATGAAATGAAAAATTTAAGACAAAAGAAAAGAAAAAAGACAAATAAGTGTAACTTTTTATAACTGAAATTAATCTGAGGGTCTGGATGGGGTCCTTCATTCCTGTATTCTTTACCTTTTTAGGTTATTTTTCTCAATTCTTCATAGATTTTGCCCATTATTCTAGAATCTTTATATTCTAGTACCCCATTATTCTCTATTCTTTATTTTTTCGGAAGATTATTCTGTAGTAATGGTCCATTATTCTCTAATCTGTAAACCAAATCCAGACCCTCTAGTCTCACTTTTCATTTTACATCTTGTTAAAGTAATTTATATTTCTTGCTTGTAATATGTTCAAAATAAATTATAAATGTGATTATTCTAACTCATAATTAATTTAAAACTTTATATGCCTGTCCCATGTCAGGAGCCTGTAGTTGGTTCATGTCCGTCTTGTTTTTCGTAAATTGTTTTGTTATAAATTAGTCTGTTAGTTTTCTCAATTCAATCATTTACTTTTTTTAATGTCTGGCCTTTTGAAGTTTTTGGCTTTTATAACGGACTATATACTAGTATGGGTTTTTCTCATAGTTGAAGGCTGTATGGTTGCCTATAAATTAATAGCTTACATATAGTTGTCTCATTGCCATTGGCAATCATACCACATCTCCTTATTTTTATACTGTCATTTACTGATAATTAATTTCAAATAAGGTGAATATGATCGTTGATCAAACTTATAATCTTCTAGTTATCCGAGTTTGTTATAGGCCGAGTATGTGAGGCCGACTATGTTATAATCGGAGTTTGTTATGGGCCGAGTTATCAAGGACTCGAAGGAGTCGATGGCACAACTAAAACTAACCAGAATAATTCAGTCGTAATATTCCACTGCTCTACGATGGCTACATTAACGCCTGAAGGCCTTGTCAAAAAAAAATAGTCAAAAAATCATTCGGAATTCAGGGCTCACACTACTTCAGAATCATAGAGAGAAGTGACTTCTCTTTTTGAAACTGATAGGGAGAAGTGGTGAGATTTGAAAGAAAAGTGCTCCTTCGCGCGCTGCGCTACAATGTTTGGTTTTTTACTACCTATAGTACAAAGGGTCATATGTAAATAATGTTCTTTTTATATTGTTCAATTCATATCTGAGTATACAATTAAAGTAACAGTTCAAATCCAAAGTTGTTTAAGTTATGGTTCTTGTGAGAAACTACAAACTAAATAATCTAGCATTAAAATTTTTTTTTATATGTCAAAAAGGTAAAGAAATTATATCAATTACACTTCAATTAAAAAACTATCTTGTTTATGACTTTCAGTGTTTCTCAACAAAAGATGTACTAAGTTAAGCTGGACCACAATATATTGATATAATAGTATTATAGTACCAGAGTTATGCAACTTTAATCAATAATTTGAAACAATACATATGTATGGAATTATATAATTAAATTTTTTTTTTATATGTCAAAAAGGTAAAGAAATTATAATATATCAATTACACTTCAATTAAAAAACTATCTTGTTTATGACTTTCAGTGTTTCTCAACAAAAGATGTACTAAGTTAAGCTGGACCACAATATATTGATATAATAGTATTATAGTACCAGAGTTATGCAACTTTAATCAATAATTTGAAACAATACATACCGTTCCTACTCGCTTATTAGTCGGAAAATTGGGAGTAAAATTCATAATCCAGAGAGGGGGGCCGACTAATAGACGAGATCTAGCGACCAGAGGAAAAATCCAAGCTTGAGAAAAGTGGTCAGGAGTGAATTTCCTGGTCAAAACTACGTTTTTGATTGCCAAACCTACATAAATCAATAAATAAAAAGTTTTTGTTGAAAATAAATGACTTCAATACTGTCTTTGTGTTTTATTTGTTCTTTGGTAAACATTTTCTGCAAATTCGTGTTGAAATTCTACTGTTTCCGGTTTGTGTATTGATTTTCATGGTCACATGGTTTTCCTATAAACCCAAAAGAAGAGCCAAGAACCAAAAATGAAAAGGAGATAACAATGTACCAAATATGTGAAAGGATGTTTTCAGCGGAGTTATTGTGTCATTATTGTGATATCATGATATCAATTCAATGCTTATAAATCATATAATAATCAAAAAATAATTTTAAGATTCATTCCCAAAATCAAAATATTATTCATTATAGTGTCTCAGGTAAACAAAAATTACAAAATTGATTGACAAGCTAATATAATCCATTGATAACCCCAATTAAGAGACAAAGAGTTGTATTCACTAAAGGTGTGAAAACTATCAGTGATAGGTAAACAGATGACACTAATGAGTTGGAGTTAGTTATTATAATATATTGATTAGCTTCACTTAATTTTTTTAATCCTTTAATCATCACAATATAATAAGAATTATGAAGTGTACATGCTCATTTAACACCGAGTTATGTATGCTGTGAAAAATATTTTCATCAAGTGTTGATTGACTTTAAATTTTTCAGGTTCATATTGGTTTATATTCGCTTTTCTCAAACAATAGGTTGTTAGTCATACCCTACAAAATCATTGATGCATTACGTAAACAACACATGGCTAATCTAACATTTGAACAGTGAACAAAACAAGAGAAATGAATACATCTTTATTATTAACAGCAATATAAATTATCATGATGAGCATCAACTAAATTCAAACCAAACAAACATTAATGCAGAAATGAATATTATTCCTGGATTTGCATTGGTTTTACCGGCGTTCAGTTCCTGTCAGCTGAAAAAAAAATGCCCAAATTTTGTCCGACTTATACGAGGGTCAAGACTAAATCCTTAGAATTTGGAGCTGAAAAGGGACCCCGACTTATAGTAGGATCGACTATTAGGCGAGTATCTACGGTATGTATGGAATTATATACATTAATCAAGTAGATCTGACCAAAAGTCTGTTAATGCGTGTGGAATGCGTAATTTTTCCTTTTGGGATCAATATTCTTCTGTCAGCTGTTCCATTCATGCGTCCCTAGTTATTATTGTAAATATACGGATTTCGGTCATAGCTGGTCCGTTTCCGATCCGTAGTTAGTAAACAGTTAATGGCGGACGAAGAAAATTTACAAAAATAAACGATGTTTGACAAGCTATTTGGAAAGGAACATGACGTTTTTAATGCAATAAATGGATTAAACATTTAATGGAGGCAACTTTTATCACGTTCAAATGAAGTAACAAACTTATTTTGCCGCTGAAAGTTAGATTGTTGTACGCTCTCGTCTGTCTCGAGTAACAAGTATCGGAAGTGCATGAAGTGATAAAAAGTTGTCTTTTTATTAAATAACCTGCTACACACTGTAAAGTCAATGCTTAAACCTCTTTTCTTCAGAAAATGAATCGTTATGTCTGAATTTTTTTAATTCTCAATAAAAGATTGATGTTTCATCTACTTGGGAAAAATTGAAAATGTCCGATGACGAAAGCGACTGAAAGCGAGTATGGTGAACAACAGGGCGACTAAAACGGTCGGGCAAAGCAAAGTGACGGAGGGGAAAGAGACCTTATCGCCCCAGTCGCCTGCTAGCTTGAGCTCTGGAATTAGCTTGGGATTAACCTATCAGCCTTGCCTATCTCGATAACATTGAGCTATTAGCTGATTGGCTCTCTCTTACAGAGAAAACCAATCAAAATCCTGGATTCGTGACGATCACAGGGAGGGACTGAATTATTCAGATTTATTCTGGTTAAACTAAAACATGTAAAACAAAAAGCATGTTCTTGTAAGCTTACGTTCCATTCTGACAATCGTATATGACGATAGAGTCATCATCGCTGCTTGAAATAAGGGTTTCTCCGTTTGCCGAAAAATCTAAATTATTTATTCGTTCTGTATTTTCCCTAAATACTTTAGCAACTCTAAAATTTCGAACAACATTGTCAGTTAGCTTCATTTTTGTGAATTTGTAGGAGGCGCTGTTGTTGACTATTTACTTCGTGATATTGTTTAAGTATCACCAAACACCAAAAAAGCTACAAAGCAGGCTTTTGTGCGAATGAATAAAATAACAGGTTTATAAAAACATACATACACAAGAAATAATAGAGGTTCAATGAATTTTTAATTGAAAATTTATAAAAGACATTGTATGTATTAATTACGAAAATCATGAAAAATATGCACTATTGTCTGTCGTTGTAGTGTATGATAAATTTTACTCAGATTTGGTTTTTAGATGTTTCATAATTAATATTCATATTTTTCATACAAATCTTAGTATAAACAGAATTTTACACAATATTCATATTGCTCATTACTTTCTTGACATTCATTTATTTAAATAAGGAGACTATTTTATTTCTTTATTTTAAAGACTTTATTAACTGCGTTACAAGATTTCAGGGCACCTTGCTTTAGCAGACGAAAACATCTTGAGCTAGACATACATTGTTCATGTTATCTCTATTATGACCCCTTTAAAACTATGACACGGTAATATATTATCATTTGGTTGCTGTCGGTTTGTTAAGTAGGTGTATTCAACTTTTTCTGTCCTAAAACTTTAATAATGTACCTAAATAACTGCAGTCAGACAAATCATGAGATATCATTTTGATAAGACTTCTGTCTTCTCTCTCCCATATCTGAAGATTTCATTTTGATGTGGCTTCTGTCTGTCTGGGTTCTCTGTCACATTATGAGGTATCATTTCGCTATGGCTTCTGTCTGTCTGGATTTTAACACATTCAATCTCTGTCACATTTCAAAACCTCTCTCTGCACGTTCATTTTGCTGTGGCTTTTGATTTTGTCTTTCTGGGTTTTCAAAACCTTAAATAATACATAAATACTTTGCCAGATCATGATATATGGTATGACTGCTTTTGAGGTACATCAGAAGGATTTGACAAATATGGGCCTGTTTGCATCACAAAATTTTCTTTTAAAAAACAAGACAGGTAAAATAAATTTTTTAGAGGGGGTTGAAATTTTTTTCATTCTTAAACTGGGGTGGTCAAAAAAATTTAGGGCGCACTGGGGGTTCGAAAAACTAGATCAGAATTATTGACTATAGCAAAATTTACGCAGCGCATTTTCTGTTTCGGGCAATAAGTAACCTATGTGTAATGTTGAGATGATTAAATCTTGCATATAAAATAAATTAGGTTGTGCTAAAATGAGAAACGAAATAGAAACGCAATGAAAAATGAGGAAACGAAACGAAATATAATGAAATACATTTCTCGTGGACAAAAAATTATCTAGTTAGTTTTTGTAAACGCAAAATTTAATCATGTTAATCATTTCTTTCTTTTGCATATAAAGCACACGTAAGAATAAATCGAAGATATTCGGTGAAATTATTCATTTCCGGAATGAAAAAAATATTATTCTTTGTATTACGGATTGCACTAAGCAGGAACTGCTTATCCTACCTAAGGCACATGAGTTCATCCCTATATTTGTTGTAAAGGGGTTCCTATTGTTTTTGCTCTACTTTTTGGAGCAAGAGTACCACATAACACCCCATCATACTAAATGAACACAATAACATATTACAGTTTATTCAGTGGAGGGTGCCATATGGAACTCTTTCCTTTGTACCAAACAATATCAACTGGATACTTCGCGCTCTGTCAAGTCACATGGATACATTTGTCCTAAGAATTTCGGGCTTGTACCAAACGTTTAATGCATTTGGTTATGCCTTAGTTAAAGCTAGACAAGAAAAAAATACCCAATTGCCTTTTTTACAACGCCTTATTATACAGGATAATGACTCATCGCCGGTTATTTCACACAAGAGTTACATAATTGGTGTAACTAGTGGATTAGGAACTGCTGATCCTGCAGGAATAATAGAAATCCGCCTCTTGTTTTTTTGGTGGGGTTCATGTTGCTCAATTATTATTTTTCCTCTGTTATTTTTGGTGTTTTTTTTTTTTTGCTTAATTACATGAATTTTTCATTTCCACCTTGGCCATGTTTTACTCTTTGCTTAGATTTAAGAGGTTTAATAGTTTGATGAGAAATGTGTGTACTAAGAAAATTTGAAACATATCAAATAAAAATAATTATATTATTATTGATGGATAAAAATTGAAATTTATGTTTACAAAGACAAATAAATGCTGCCAGGTATGATGAAAAAAATGACACTCTTAAAATCAAATGGTCGATCTCTTATCATGTGCCTATGTTGTATGGTGAAGTCATTTTGTGACGGAAAACTTCAAGAGGTTGATTTAGGGGGAGGGGGGCAGGGGAACTGGTCCCCCCTTATGGAGCTACATGTATGGTTAATGCATAGACTTTTTACTTGTTCCACTCCAAACGTTGTCTAGTTTGCCCCCTTTCAAAAACCTGGATCCACATCTGACTTCAATGTAAAGTTTAATCAAGACACTAACACTTGAAAATCTTACAAATATTTGGGACATGACGTTCAAAGCTGGTTTTAGTTAGGAAGATAGCGAAATTCCAAGAGTTTGTAGGACCTTTTCATGTGACAAACAACAAAATTGGAGAATGAATAACATGAAACTTAGTTTTAGACCATAAGGCATATAAAATTAATTTGTAGGATTCCCATCTCTGTCTGTCATGATTTATTTTATCTCACCGAGTGGTCTAAGTAGTTACTACTGTAATCACTAGCCAGTCAACACTGAGGTTGTGAGTTCAAACCCCACTTGTGCGGGTGCACTCGACTCCAATCTTTATTGACTAGGATTGTCAGTTTTCCTATCCAAGGTTGGTGGTTTTCTCTGGGCACTCCGGCTTCCTCCACCAATAAAAACTGGCTGCCACGAAATAACCCAAAAGCGGTGCTTAAAAGTGGCGTTAAAACACCAAAAATCAAATCAAATCAATCATAGTTACGGATATTGTTTTGTAAAACATAAATGTGGTAATAATTCATGTTCATGAGCTGTATACAGTGCATGGAATGCAATGAGTACAGCTGGATACACCAAAAAAACAAAAAACAAAAACAAAAAAAACACACAAAAAACGAAAACGGAACTAGCTAATTTATAGTTTGGGCGCACGCTAACATGTTTAACCTCATCACATTCTGTAGGTGCATGTCTCAAGTCAGGAGCCTGTAATTCAGTGGTGTTCGTTTGTTGCTTATATTATATTTGTTTTTTTCATTTATTGTTTTGTACTTAAATCAGGACGTTAGTTTTCTCGTTTGAATTGTTTTACATATTTGTCATTTTCGATGTCTTTTATACAGTAAGGTTTTGCTCATTGTTGAAGACCGTACAGTGACTGATAGTTGCCAAACTTCTACTTAATTTTGGTCTCAGATGGAGAGTTGTCTCATTGGCAATCATACTACATCTTCTTATTTTTATATTACCAGTAAGTTACAGTTTAGAGATTTTTTACCGGCGTTTCTAAGACTTAGCGAGTACTACTGAAACCAAAGGCAATTTACATTACAAAGATATGAGACAACAAACAGCAACTGTGCACTGGAATAACAAGCACCACACAGGCACTAAATAGTCGGGACTGGTTAGAACTATATGTTAAACTAAGAGACTATAAAATGCCAAAGTTGCTATTTGGTTTGCGAGTATACCACAAAATGGTAAAAAAAGAAACAGAGGACACTTCAAAACTCCTATGTCGAAGAGAAACTTACAGTACCATGGCAATAAAACGAAAACCATGAAAAAACAAACAAATTCACAAAACACTACATAGAAGTGTTAAGACTGAGCAACACAAATCCTACCAAAAAAAAACATGCTTGATCCTATGTGCTCCGGAAGGGTTAGCAGATCCTGCTCTACATGTGTAAATATTTACAAATCGGACAATTATTCAAAAATGTTTAACCCCGTCGCATTTTCTATGTGCTTGTCCCTAATCAGGAGCTTTTAACTCAGTTGTTGTCGATTGTAGCTGTCTGTCATAATTGTTTTACGTTTATTGTTTTAGCATATATGTATACATATATATCCGGGCGTTTTTAAATAATATAAAATGATTTTTATTTCATTTCGTTTTGTTTTGTTTCGTTTCGTTTTGTTTCGTTCATTGCGTTTCTATTTCGTTTCTCATTTTAGCACAACCCAAATAAATGCCTTTATTTAAGAATTGAATGCTTCTTTTTGTAAATTTATTGGGATGTAAAAGCGTTGACCGAAGTACATTTTGTATAAAGCGCGGAAGTCTTCATTCTAAAAATGTCAAACGTTCAACGCTTTTACAACCCTATAAATTACTAAAAGAAGCATTCAATACTTATAATTACATTTTTTTGCTAGGGTCATGAAAACACGATTTTCATCAAGTTTTTTTTTTTTACCTGTGCACTTTATTGTGGAAGCTCGCGTCATCATGAATGTTTCATTTCATTTTGAAATGAAGGTTAATTTCAGAATGACGCGAGATTGGTGTTAGCCAATCAAAATAAAGTATTATAATGAAACATACATGTAATGTAATTATATCACCAATAGAGCTTAATAGACAATGTAAACTGTAAATAGCTTAATCTCTGGTCATCACAGCATGACCTCTTTGCCTATCATATTACACTCTTCGTGTATGTAAAAACTGTGGTCAAGGACTTATATAGTAAGACTATGCCCTATACAAATCCTTGCTGTGGTTAGAAGAAAATTAACAAGTCTGTTGTTTGATATTAGAAACAGTTTTTTGTTATGAGATTTCATAAATATTTCATATGATCGTATAGATAAAGTGAAGAAAATTTATCTAAATACAAGCAAATTTTCTGAGCTAAGAGTAAGAAAAGAGTTGGCAGGCCTGGACTTAAGTTGGAATGAGAAACAAAAAGAATAACCTTAACTACATAGAAAGGCTGTTAATAGGAAATTGAAAATTCTGGTTTCAAAGTGTAATAACTTGAACAAACAGATGTGCCCTTCCATTGAAAATAAGACCTTTTTTTTCCCCCTTATGAATGAATTGTACGACTTTAGCAAAGAAAGTGTCCCTTTAGTACTTACAATATTGATGTTGAACTAATTGGTTAAAATTGCTTTAAAGTTCATAAAAATGACAAAAGCTCTATTTGTTTTATTGGAGAAGAATGTTTTTTGATCATACAGCAAAATGATTGATCTTGAAAAGTTGGATAATCCTGTGACAGAATATTGGGAAATATATGAAAAACAGCATAACAGTTGAGAAGAGACTATCGATCAGGGAGCCAGTGTAGAAGAAATGAGTGGTCGTGGAAGTGAAGAGCATATAGAGAGTGAATCTTAGCTTTCAAAGAGAGAATAATGTAGTAGTTGAGAGTGGGGAGGACTGATTGTGGTTCCTTTGAAAAAGGTTTTGAAATTGACAAACAATTGTATTACATGTACAAATGCTATCAATGTAAAATAAATACTATTTGTATAGATGTATTCCTAGGTTAAGGAATAGGGGGGGGTCAAAATTTTCAAATTGCTTCTTTTAATAGGAAGGGTTGAATTCTTAGATTTTACCAACCTGGGGGGG